GTATAATCAACTACTCTATCATAAAAACTAAAGTGATGTCTGTGAATATAAACTTCTTCAATAGAACCGCCTCCTAAATAAAAGCCATACTGTAGTTCAGAGTGTATTACTTCAAAGCCAGAATTTCTACTCAGATAAAGAAGCCCTGTAGAAAAGGTCCGCTAGAGTACAGTAAGAGACAGCTGTCATACAATAGCTAAGCTTACCCTTTTCCCAGTCAAATTCAAACCAAACAAATATAAAATTCAACCTTGTAAAGATAAACAGTATCCCCAGTCAAAAACTCATGAAGATATATATAAAAATGTTTTGTATGGAAGTACTGTCTAGATATATACTTCGAACAATGAGCATTGTATTCTCATATTGGATATTCTTTTGTAAAAATAGTCGAAAAGTGATTATACGTATCACGATATATGATATGTTTACGCCAAAAACTGTTTCAAGCATATCCAACCGACAGCTGACACCTGCACGTGGTGGCTGTCTGTCTGTTTCAGTCATTCGAAAAATTAAGCTGGCATAAATGATTGTTTTTTGGGATCCTACCATACCAGAAAGGTCTACTGAGTGGTAGAAAACTAAAAGAAATCACTATAATAAAGTTAATAACTTACGCCATAGTATGAGGTACAGCAATGAAGTTGTACTGCTAGCTGAATGGGTTGTGACATAAGTAAAGTATTTCACATGCACTGCCAGCAATGCAAGTAAATGCTGTTCGCGCCATATCAGAAGGATGGGTTAGAAGAGGTTGTCCCCAAAAGTACCAAGCGGTTCTCCGGTGCCAACAGTGCAGGGTTTTCTTAGCTGTACTGAACACAAACTTCAGTCTCAAAGTTTTCAAAAACCCATGTGATCGATATCGAGCAGATATCACCAGAACACGGCGTTTACGCATAAACAACTCACTCCTATTTCAAGGATCTCAAGAAGGCCACCTTACAAGCGATGTGGACACCAAGTAGGTACATACTCACCAATAACTTCTAGCAATATACAAAATCCATTTGATTGCAATCTGTCTTCCTTATCATTTCCTATTCCCTCATCTTCACTAAGTGCTCTATCACTAACAGTAAGCAACCCACAGTTTTATCAACTTCTTACCCTGCGACCATCGCTAATTACTGAAACCAACAAAAGAGCATTTCTGGTCATCTAAAACCATGGAACCAATTTTATATTGAATCTTTCGAATTTCGAAGCATATACCCATTCAATCAACAGGGTACACTTCCCAAAACTGTGGAGACAGATGGCCTTCACATATGTTGTTTTGAGTTATGCATGAAGGAACCAAGTTTGATTATTGATTTAACCTGACCTGGCTAATGCAGTGGATATGCTGGCTTCAGTTAACGAGTGTTCAGAGATTCGATAGCTGTTCCCCACTGACGTAGATGTAATATTTAAGTTGTAAAGCAGAAATCGCACTGCTCAACTGGATACCATTTGATGGCCCCTGTGTGCCATCTAACTCAAATCAGTCGTAAAATTTAGAAATGGTTGAAACGCTTGCCAATCCTTTACTGTAATCTCTCCATCCACCAACGGTAATTCCGACGATGTAAAGTACTTCTTCTACCAAAAACCATCTATTTCGTTTAACTCAGCAAAACAGTGAGTTGTAAACATAAACACGACTAACTTCAACCCCTAAGTAAGGAAAGTGAGCGAATCTCGGAAGGATCTATGGTATTCCTCCCCAAAGAACTGAAAACGGTGACCATCTCATACAATATTGCTTTGGCAATCAATTACCTGTGACCAGCACTAATTTCAAATATCAAAAGAGATATTGTCTCACATGGAGTCTGTCGATATCAGATTAAAGATAAACACAGATAGATAATATCATCAGAAGCCTATTGTTGGAGAACTGCCACCCTTTTTGGAGTATCGCATTCGACTACGTACGATCAAGCATTAGTACGGGCAAGTGTATATTAGTGTAATAAGGGGTAGAGGAAACAAATATCTGTGAAGTCTCTGTGTATTAGGCTGGAAAAAGATAATATCAAGTGGGCATTTAGGAAAGAGATAACTGAACACGGAAGTAATTCTTCTGCTGACAAAACTTGTCGGTCTGCTGTAGGAACTGTGGTAAGAGCAGTTGATAGCCTGCATCCGCAGGTTGTGTTAAGACAATGGATTTCTGAAGCTTCATAAAAACTTATCCATTTGTGAAGACTCGTTCCAAATGACTCTAACCATGATATGTATTACTGAAAGCACCCGTAGATAAATACCCTGACTGTTGGCTTGAGCTGTATAGGGAGATGCAGACTGTTTGGTTTGGGTCCCGAAGACGATAGGAATCAGTGGTTGAGGACACTCGGTGACATGGCTGAAAATTGGTCACAATGGAGCAGATGTATTCACTCCTTGACATCGTCTAAAGCTTGAACATTCACACTAACCTTTGATATTATTTATTCTCTCACTTTATCTACTCAGATATCACTCCTTTTCTATCCACCTATTCTTTGTGTACTTCTGTGAAGTGTGACAGCCTGAGCCGATGTACTTCTGCTCTAGGTTCTACTTTGATTCTGTCAGTTAGTCTAACCACGATGAGGCATGTAAGCAATAGAATAAGTGTAAATTGAAGAAGAATCTTCGTTAAAACCGCAAAAAGTGGTACATGACAAAAATTAGAGATGGCGAAGGTTTCAGCATTATGTAATATTAGACTATTATACTGCCTAATTAAGGAGACTGGTGCGAAAATGTCGATAGTCAGAAATTTTAGGAATGTAGGTGGGAAATCATTCAGCAGAGTGACCGAGATAACAACTAGTGGAAGGAAGTCAGATACAGTCCCATAAGACTGACACCTTCATAGCTGATCATCCCAGTTTATACGAAAGGAAAGAAGTTAATCTGTGACAATCATATTGGAATTAGTTTGAATGCTATTGCATATTAGTTCTTAGGATCTCTAATCGTCTTACACCTAACTTGAGCTTGAGGAAATCAGGTGGGTTTCAAATATGAACGCGGAGGCGTGGATCAGCTCTTCAGCCGTCGACAGCTTTTAGAACACAGACACACCTATCGGCACCTGAAATTAACCACTTTTCTTGACTCCATCAATCGAGAGGTGTAGAGACAATGAAGAGAGTACAGAGTAGGTATGCAAAGTAATCAAAACTTCCTGCTGAAACCCACGAAGCCATGTTACAGCTTATGGAGAGTTGTATTTTGAAGTAACCACAATCACTAATGTCTGTCATGCATGTCCACTATCGTCAGTCCTATTGAACTTTGTTAATGATGTGCTGATGGACATTACCCTACATACTTCCAATTTATATATATATATATATATATATATATATATATATATATATATATATATATATATATATATATATATATATAACTTGATGAGTGTTCTGTATGAATGACTCGGCGATGTCAGAATTGTAGAATAAAGATGATATCCATATCTTGTATGTGGAGTTTATGAATTACAGATCCAGATTTCTATGTACACACGTGTCGGTAGTTCTTATCGCCTTGATGTATATTTGTTATAGGGGGTGGGTTGAGACCAGGTCCAAACTACGTTTCACTCCTTCATTCCTATTTAGACAATTTTGATTCCACTCTGTATCCGAAGAAATTCTGTTATGAGAAGTTCTACATCATTTCTGAAGCCTTTATGAATAATTTTGATATAGTCAAAATCAACCTCGTGACCTCAAATTATAGCATGTAGAGCTATGGTTGAAGTATTTCCAAGTTCTTCTGCGGAGTCGGATAGGAAGCTGTTCGGTGTTCATTTCTCCTCATTTTGATTTAACGGGATGTTTGTCCTACATGTATTGCATCACAGTCTCAGTATTTTATTTTATAAACACAACTAAGTTGTGAATCTAGAAGGATCTCGTCCTTCAAATGAACTAAGGTGCTCTACAATGTGTTTGGTGTTATGTAGAACACTCTGATATTGCATTTGTTGAGGTCCATGATTTAGGAGCAGTTCGACGGTATAATTTAATAATATTTTTCATTTTTCGAATGAATTTCATCAGACAATTTTTAATTGTATCTTGTTCACATATTCTACTTACTTGACTCTTTCATTTTCATTCGTTACTAGAGAGTGTACTCTCCTTAAGAGACTAGAGGCAACAGAAACTTCGTACTAATTAGATGATGTGATGAGTTGAAATCTAAATATTTGTTCGAATGTGTTACTTTCCTGAAATGGATTATGCCTAAATATTCATTTTATTTCCGTTTAACAAGACAATCCAGGAAATGCAGTTGCCCCTTTTTCTGATTATTTTCCCGAGATGAACTTTGATACTGGAAGATCTAGATAGAGTTCAGTTGATCTCAGAATGCCCGTGCACGTTTTAAAATTATGAATGTGTTATCAACATATGTCAGTCAAATTTTCGGCTTTAGTAAGTGAGTGAAGAGACTTTCCTGGAATCTACTAATAAATAGGTTAGCTACTATGGGTGAAATAGGTGAACACATAGCAACACAGTTAGTTTGCTTGTATAGTTTAACTTTAAATGTGAAGTAAGTAGTCTCTAAGCAGAATTCTAGGGCCTTGATGATATCACTGGTATTCAGTGGACATTTTACTGTCAATGACGTGAATGGATATGACTTATCCAATGGTCAAATTTTTTTAAACCATCAAATCTTAACTTGTTTTGAATATCTATAAAATAGACTTAAGTTAGTCGGCTAAAGCTGTTCTTCTCGCTTGACTTAAAAATCAGATACATTCCAAAAAAAAGGAGTCAGTGTGAATGAAGATGGATTTTGTCATCTGAAAACGCCAAGTCTTTTGGATAAAACTGTTTATTCAGACTTTTCAATATGAACAAGACAAAGTGAACAGAGAGATATGAAAAAGTAGTTGTTAAGAAAATTCTGATCAAGCTATGCCATTGATAATGTATATTTCTTTTAAAAATTTTATTCTGTACATTGTTTTTATCTCCATCATAAGAATATACACATCTGAATTATGATACATTACTATTATTATTTTCTTCATCATTGAATGAAATGCCTAATTTCTCAGCAAGTCGAAGACGAGCTTCATTTCTTGTACTACCAGTTGTACAAACACGTTTACCAGAAGTCCATGCAGTTAACTCATATACACATTCATTTGAATTCAATGACATGCTATTTGAACTCCTACAGAGAATTTAAATATAACAGAAATGATTTTAGGAAGTTCCTCCACTTTAAATAATTGCTAAAGTGGCCTTCAGAATGAGTGACTATAAGAGAGACGCTAGAAACTATTGAAACAATCATTTAGCTCTCTTAACTGCAGCTGCGAATTGGTTACTTCATAAATTGTAAGAGTGGTTTTTAGAATCACTCATATTTCAGTACATATGACAGCTACATGTATCATCATAGTCTCAAGGGTTACTTCTGCTTAAATTATAATGATTAGCATCTTTTTGTTCTCGTAATTATGTACATTTATGGCATTACATTGGATTGTTCATGTGAAAAGTAGCAGTAGTGCTGTTGTAACTCACTAGCCTATGCACTTGACTCTCGGCTGATGGGTCGTATGTTTGAGCATCGCTCCATCTACCGGAGCCTGGGCACCCAGGTAATATCGCTCTCATACAATAGGTGTGGCTCATCGCCTACTGAACGTGGTTGCTGAGTACACCTCCCCTCAGCTGCTGCAATTTCTGTTCCTTCTGTATAAAATAAACAGTGAAAGTTTTAGTTATCTCAAATTACAAATTGTAACTATAATCGATAATTCTATTGCACATACAGTACAGTAATCTAGAGCTAATTTAATTATAACAATGATACAGAGTTGGGGAACTTTTCCAATCATCATTCACGTTAGTATATGTATCACAGTTATATATAAATGACAAACAATCATGTGGTGTATCTTGCCATAATCACTGACTTGAACACTTAAAAACTTGGCTTCAACAAACTACTCTATGAATTGTATCCAAACCATGAAATTAGTGTATACACGCAAAATCTACAGAACATGAAATGAAAAGGATGCACTTCAACCAATAATGTTAGCTGAACAAAAATTTCTCATGTTCCTTTCATTAAAAACTACATTCCGTTGAAATTTAAACAAATAATCAAAAGTTTTGGAGCTTTTTTTCGAAGTTCAATATCCACTTTGTTTTTAGTCCATTGAGTCACTCCTTGACCGATGGCTATAGTATACTTTTGTACACCATAGCTTGTAGTTTTCCGTCTGCAAGGCATCTGAGCAGAACCGATCGGTTCGGTCCAATCAAGCTATAACGCCGAAACTAGTCTGATAAGCTAGAACGAGTCCCTTTTATTCCTCTTGTTCTGAGAATAATACGCTGAACAACTAGGAAGTTTATATTTCACAGTTTCAATGAGACATTAACAATAATCCTAGTTGCCGTACCACCAGCCCTTACACAGATAATCCAACAGAACCTACATTAATTGTTTACCAAAATGCAACCATGATATAGAACTACTTTTCGAAGTATGAATACATCAGTTTAATGTGAATAAAGGACCGCATCTTGTCAGTTAGCAATAATATTCATCGTTTGCTCTTATAAAAGGGGATTAGGTGAAGTATCGACCAACTGGAGATCATTTTTTCACCTTGCCTACCTTGAAGTGAAGCTGCCGAGTAACTCAAGCAGATGTTCATTCCTATACCTAATATGTTTGAGTTTTGTGTATAAACTTTTACGATCAGCTAAATGATTACTTCTCATGCTAAAATAGATCTCAATGGAATGCATTTTATACACTACTGATTTGACTGAAGAATCGTAATAAGATTAGTCAGTCAGCTGAACGAGATAAAAACAAATACCGGGTAAGATTCCAATTATAACCTACGTATATACTTGTTAACGAAAGTAAAGAAAAGGACATTGACCTTAAATCTCTTCTCTTTATGTTTTCTTAACGGCTAATTATTGAATAAATAAATATTCTGAAACAACATAATAAACTGTCTATAATTTCTAGACAATTGAGGCTTAGTATAGTAATTATGACTTGGAACATAAGACAAGTTTACTTGTAAACTTATCAGGAGGTACTGTTACTGATCAAGTTAAGTGTAGGATTGCATAAGGAAGGAATTTCAATAGAAAAGGTAATGAATTTTATTTGGTTGCAACATCAGTTGTATATACCAACGCATTATCTAAATATAACGCACAGTTTTAACAAGTGATATCAATGTCAAAAAAGCTAAGCGGTATGACCAGATGACAACATCACATCAGTCCACAACTGACTCCTGATGTTAAGTTTACAAGTCAGTGAACTTTGCCTGGCTAGGGGTGCTCGAGATGCTAAAAAATCAATGGACAGAGGACTCTAGGTAATACAACTAAAAAATATATCACAACAGTGGATACAAATTCACTCCTTGACATTTTTAAAATGCAGAATATGTTGTTAATCTCCGACAAACAATTTTCTTTACTGCCTTGTGCGTTTTTAAACAGGTAGATAGACAAACAAAAGCAGTGTAAAACATCGCATACAAGTTCATCTTTTCAAGTTACCATAGGTCACGGTAAAATACAAAGAATAAGTGGATAGAAAATAACTGATATCAAAGTAGAAAGAGGTATATAGGAAGAGGGAGAATTTTTAAAAATGACCGTTGGTCATAACATTCAAGCTTAAGAAGACAGTAAGGAGTGAATACATCTACGCCACTATAACCGATTTTTAGCTATGTCAACAAGAATTAATCCTCAACCACTGATGCCTATTATCTCAAAGACTGAAGTCAGGCAGTCTACATCTCCTTATACGGTTAAGACCAACAGTTAGGGACTTCATCGACTAGTGCCACAGCCTCATCTGATCACTCTGAATCCCTATCTTGCAACCTAATCCAACTTCCCCCAGAATAGCACATCAAGGCAGTGGCTTGGCATACGCACTACATGTCAAAGCCATCTCAGATGATGTACGTTCACCTCATCGATTGACTTGTCTGGTACCCTTCACCTGACCATAACACTGCTCACATGGTAGATCCACCAAACGCAAGCAATGCTACGAAGACATCTCTGGTCAAAACCGTGCAACATTTCACACCTTCTCCTTTCGACGGCCATGTCTCACAGTCGCATAACAGGACAGAACGGACTACACCACAGTATACTTGTTCTTTGAGAGATAGTCGGATATCTTACCAGTCAGCACCATAAATGACACAAGCTGGCAAATGTCAAATGGGTCTTCTGTATGCGCTGAGATTTTGTAAGCAACTGGGTCGTTCGGGCTGATGCAACTCCCCAAGCAAGTGAAGTGGTCGATACACTCCATAACTTCACTTCATATCATTAAATCGGGAGTACCTTCAAACCAGACCTGTAGCATCGTCTTACATGTGACAGGTGCGAAACATATGTCAAGCATACCCAACGCGTTCATTTTTTCTTCCTCTTTCTGCTATTGAGAAGAGTACTAAGTGGGATCAATTTAAGAAATTTGCACAAAAGTGAGTCAGTTCAAGTTGCCCCACTTCATAGTAGCATGAAAAGAAGTTGACAGAAGAAGTTTAATGAAAATATTTACGGCTTTGAAGATGATAAAGAGTGTATACATATGCATTATTGTGACTGGTTTCGAACAAAATCACCAGAATTATCCAAACACTGACTCCTATCATCTTGAAGAACTTGGCTACTGATTTCATGTATTCTAATGTTACACTAGTGTTATGATAACCGATTTCTGAGCTTGATTTTATCATTACTGTATTGTTATTATTATTAACTTCAACAATGTATTAGAATCAAAACACATTTCATAAAGACTCATTTTACTTATGATGTGTTTTTGCTCTTACTAAGTGGCCAACTAGACTACTAAGCTATGCAGTATATTATTTTTAAAAGAGGCATCTGGACAGACTGAACACAAACAGTAGCATAATACATTTTTAGACAAAAAAAACTACACGATCACCCACGAATAATCTTTATTGGATAGTTAGTTAATAGAGTAGACAAAAATGAATTGTTTTTGCTTGACGTTGAAATGAGCGAAAGACTATAAACTAAGTAGATATGAGTAACTGTCAATAAATCTCTTGGAGTTTAAGTAAGGATCAGGAAAAAAATATTTGGATAGGTCACATATAATTACTATTATGTGAGCACATTTGTAACGGGCTCATATTAATCAGCCATCCACGCAAAGCACACCCTTGATATGCATGACCTGTCGAAGGGTGAGTTGTCCAGGTCGCCTAAGGAGGAGTGGGGCGATCCAGGGTGGGAAACCCAACTGGCAAAGGTCCCCCCACATCCAGAGATGGCGCCTATGAATGGTGTCCATATGGGAGAACTCCAGGTCTTGCGAAACCTTGCACGTACATAATGAAATTGAAAAATTGGTGAAGATCGGTAGAAAGCAACTTAATTATATAATCTGTACTTTTAAATAACACTTAAGTAAGATGGATTACGCAATCGAAAGCCAAAGAAACCAGAAGTATGAAAAGTAGTAGTTAATTAATTTATATGATTTAGGTAGGAGGACTCATCACTTGAATATCCTACATACTCGGCGAGGTATGCACCTATACTTAAAACTCAAACAAAAAAACAGAGAGCGGTTTTAAAAAGGTTTATAAGTGCTAGTTAGATGCTTTAAAAAAGGTTAGAAGGGGTGTGAAAACTGACAGTGGAAAATTACATGCAATCAAGCCTAGTTACGTCATCGTGAGTAAGGAAAGAATATCTATAATAAGTCTATGCACTGAATGCGACGGGGAGATAAGATAAACACAAATTAACTGATAACAATCATAAAAAAGTTAGTTATTGAAGTCCTAGTGCAGTAAAAATGTTACCAATATAGATTCACAGTTGGCCTCATTTCCTTCTGCATAAAACAGTTGGTTTACAGATCGGAATACTACAGACTTCTGTGATTGCTAGCATTTCTTTAATTCTGTTCCCTAGTGACTACTATAAATGCCTAGAAAGAATTAGCATCATCTCCACATAGTCTACAAGACGTTCGATTATAGAACTTACTCCAATGTTCACTTCCGTAAGTAACTAACCATAAGAGTAGACAGCTATCGCTGTACTTTTTAAAACACGTTCGAATTGATATACATAGTTAGAAGTGCCGAAAAATGTTTTTTCCCCAAATTTCTGAAGCATTCGCTTGATGGGACTAAGAAAGAACAATTTTGTTGAGAAACTTAAACGCCAGCTATATGTACAGACATTTATTGTACTTTCTATACTTTTAGCGTATTTTATTGATAAATCCTTCTAGATATTTGTTTCCAGCTAAGATTACTTTCAACGCTTAAACTGATTGATATATAAATGGATAGAAAGCTTAATGAATACAAATACAAGTCGAAAAAGTAACACCTTAAAAACCTACTGATATCGTAAATCAGGATGGAGTAAATGCAGTTGTTTGAGAGGTTGGACCGGTAAAGTGGAAATAAAGCAATCTACATAAACACAAAATGAAAAATACATTAAATTAATTAGGAATAATTATTACTGAATACAGATGAATACAACAGTTAAAGAGATTACGATAAAAATTAAATTCTACCTTTAGTAGACACTTTCATGGGATACAACTGATATTCATTGCACTGGAGGTGGCTATTGAACCCCAGTGACTTGGTCCATAACGCTCTGGCATTTGAAGTGAAGGGTACTGGGTTCGAGTTCCAGTGGGAACAACATCACTCACTGAGGTGCAGGTGCATCCAGCTGACGAATAGCACGAAACACGTATCCTGGATTCCACTGCCAGTCACCAACAAGAATGCAATATCATGATAATCCAGTAGTATCGAGGATCCTGCACGGGAGCCAATCTGCCAGCAAAAGTAGAGCAATCCTATCCTATGTACCATCAGGAAATTACAAGTATCAAACAACAGCTGATGCCTGTTGCACATGAGATGGCTCTCATGTTCAAGTGGATAACGCTTTAGTGTTTAAAACGATGGGAATTGGGTTCCAGTCTCAGTGGGACGAACATCACTCACTGAAGTGCGGCAACACCCAGCTGATGAGGCCGATATGGGACGAAAAGCCACTGCTAGTCACTAAGATGAATACAACTTCTTGGGAAATAAAAAGAAGAGGAATATAACAGTTCGTTTCATAATAGACACTGAAACAATGGTAAGAAAAGACAGATCATTTGTTTATGTCTTCTGACGCACTCATTAGTTTTATTGCCATAATAATGACAGCTTGTTTTAATGATCATTAGAGATATCAACTGCTTGAATGTAATTAGATGATTGAAACCGAAAAAAAGATTTATGTTGCAGCAGGATATGATTCAGGAGTATCTGGGTGAACATATCAGCACTTTCCTCGCTGGGCTACGAGGAGATTTAGTTGCTGACCAAATGTCAATTTCGCTCTAATGGTCAATATTTTCACTGAGTACTTATGCGTGGCAATGGCACTTGACTGGCCATTCATCAACATTACAACAGCCATCAACTCAAGTCTTTTGATTGTAGTCCAAACAAAACTGAATTATAAAAGGGGAGCAACTGGTCGATTATTGGCTCGAAGTTGAAATCCATATGCACACTCGTGCAGCAGGTGATGAGCCACACCTACTACTTGGCTGTCCAAACCTTTGCACGTGAAGCGGTCCTCGGACTTCTGACCCACTGGGTGAAATTCAACTCCCTGAACCAGTGAATCATAACTGGCTACAAAATATGAAACAGCCTCGCTGATACAGATCTAGGCCAGCGAAAGTAAATCGAAGGTCCCTACTTTGAACCATGTTGAAACTAAAGTTTCCTTCTCAACTTCAACCATCACTTAAACACAGTTTCATCAGTCTGCTATACAAGATTCCACTTCAGTCTGTTTATTAGAAATATCACACAGTGAAACTAGCATTTACTGGACAATGTTTTGGATACAATTTATTGTAATGATTGGTCACGGGAGTGCAACCAATTCCATGTTGTCTAGTCCTGAGTGCACACCGAATTCTATCGATCATACTTGCAATATGGCAACTATGCTAGGAAGCTCAGCGTCGCGGTGCACATTAGTAGATGTTAGATGGTTGAAGGCAATCGGCAGGAAGCCTAGGAGCTAGGTTTAGTGCTTTTTGGGACTCGTCAGCAAGGTGCGTCTGCAACCGCGACGGCTCGAATAGTTCGGAGGTGAAGTCGCCGACTACAACGCAGGTTCGAATCTCAGACGGAACGTCAGTTCCACCGAGGTTGCAGACACCCTTGCGGACGAGTGCCGAAAAGCACGAAACCCAGGTCCCGGGCTTCCTGCCGATTGTCTCAAACCAACTGACAATTTCTTATCCATATTCATATCAGGTAACTTCACAACTTCGAGACAGACTTTGTATATTCCTAGTTTCCTCTCCCCCTCTGTGATGACAAGGGTAGTAGTATTTTCCATATATCTGGACAGGTGCAGAATCATTCCTATTACTGCATGTATTTGGTGTTGATTCGATAAACAAAGATTCGGTTATCAATCTCTCCTCCATCAACTGAGTTAGTTTTCAACACTGTCGCCCTATCCCACCCTACTGTGTGATTGTGTCATCGCATGCAGAGTTTTTCTCTAGATTTCCTATCTTAATAGGATCTACTTATCTTGATTCAGCTAATTCTTTGTGCTCTGTTATTCTAATCGACCTTGTTCGACTGCTTTGACCTATGTGCTTGACCTCGCAATCATTGCAAGGGATCTGGCAAACCAGATTATTTTGCTTAATTGCATCGATAGGATCTTTCAACCTACAAGCTTGTTCCTAAGCGAGTTTGTTGGTTTGAATGCCACTTTAGTCTCAGCCTTATTGAGAACTCTTCGTGATGCTCTGAGGTGCCTTCCTTGTATGGTAACACAGCAGGGGCTTTGAATTCTCTCTTAACCCTATCACCATCATTAACATTAGTAGTGGAATCATTGTTAATAACACCTGTATTACTATTACTACCACTGCTAATATTTTTCTTTCTATACAAAGTCCGTCTCGAAGTTGTGAAGTTACCTGATATGAATATGGAAAATAAATTGTGTCGAAAACGTTATCCAGTAAATGCTACTGTTTCACTGTGTGATATTTCTAACAGACTAATATGGAATTACAATCTACCACAGTGCCTCTGTTTTACTCTTATATTAATGCTATATAAGATAGTTACAACAAGAATCACTAGTTCCTTTAGCCTTTGAAATAGAATGAACGATTACCACCATTAAGAAAGGACCCACTGAGTGCTCTGATATGCGTTTACAACAGTGTCAGGGAATTCCTATTCACTGCCTTCACGTGGTAGGAGTGTCTTCACAAAAAGTGAAAGGGTGGAAGCAAATGTCCAGCGCTTATCACCGGATTGGTGGCTACTTATGGTCCACTTGGGGGATTTGGAAGACCTTGATTTCAAAGTAATGGTGCACATATGCTCCAGCTTCTAAGAGGGAAGAACGGCGTATGAACCGCAACCATGGGAATGCAGCTCTTGACGGTGTTCCACTGCCTTGTGGATTAGGCTTTGTCAAAGGCTAGGGGACTGGTTCCCTAAGACAACCACCTGCTTAGGTCGTGGAGCTTGAGCATTATCTCAGCCCCCACATAAAATGTAAAAGCGCTCACTCAACTTTCTGGAGAAATTCATGCTTTCTGTACTACAAACGCTATAACTAATTGTTTAATTTATTGTGATTGTATTGTTTTTGCTGCTTTTACATGAAAATTATATTCTTTTATCGTTACCATTTTCGCTTGTCTTTATCTGAACTTCACTCAACTGCTCTCCATTGCTTACACTTCCGGTTTATCTACACCGTTTCGAGTCGCTAAACAGTTGCCCCCATAAAGATGTCTTCCAGTGCGACATCTAACACAACTATCCTGAAACTACATATATCGTTCAAGCTCGCCACCTTTAACGTCCGCACCTTGATGCAGACCAGACACCAGAGAGGTTTGTCTAGGACTCTGAAAACCCCTCTATTGATGTATGGTGCACCTCAGAGACCCGCATACAAGATTCCAGTGAATTTCTTCGAATAAGTTCTCCACCTGTCAGCTCGAAAAGTATGTTCATGTACGTTTATCCGGGGACCCTGTGGTATCGAAAACAGGTCTCACTGGTGTCGCACTAAGCGCTAGAGTCGGAGCTGCACTACTTGACTGGATCCCCATCAACAGACATCTGTGTGCTGTTAAGTAGCCGGCAAGAGAAACGATGTCTCTTTGTTATCTCTGACTATGCGCCAACGGATTGCAACCTAGATGCAACTAGGGATGAATTTCATCACCAACTGAGTGACATTCTCAGCCAAGTATCATAATGCCAGCTGGGGATTTGAATGCGGGTATCTAGGCTCAGAGAAGAGTCGTTTAGGTGGCCAATGGTGACTAGCTGGCCCCAGTCAGAGAATGGAGACCGTCTTCTGCAGCTTTGCACAGACCAAAACCTACTTCTAACTAGCACAGCCATCGCCGTTGTGCTACTGGCATCTTCCCTCTACACCATTCCCTCGTTGTACCATGTTTGTGTTATAATAACAGTGAAAATAATTAAGGAGAGGACTTTTTCACCAACTACTGATTTCAGCCACAGAACCATCGGAAACTCAGAACTGGATATTGGTTTCATTGTTGTCAAAGATACCTCAGTGATGCACAAGCATAACCCTAAACAGGATCAACTTCAAGAAACTTAAGTGTTTCATTCAAACCACGAAAGATTTCAGCTACTGGACAATAATCTAACAATCAGCATTTGAAATTTCCACCGATTCGCTCACTATACAGCATCAACATCATTTATTGTTATTGGTAGACATCCCCCTCCAGAAAAAACAATTAGTTTAAAAATAACCTACAGTTTTCTGATGGATTTAGGTTATATATTTACTATAGTGAATTCAATCATGAATGAGGGCTGAAATATGCGAACTCAGTGATAAATATGAGAAACGCAGGATCGAATGGGTTTTTTAAACTACAGTACGACACGTCAGCTAAACATCCGTACATATATGAAAAGTAAACATGCATACAAACACAAATTAACGACAAATAATTAACTATCGGGTTCAAAAGGTCATTTTTAGCTATGAAAATGATACATAACTGACAACAAATAGAAAGATTCGACTAAAAACAGTAAATAAAGTTATTATAACAGAAATAGCTCGAAAAGAGTACTGGTAAATCAGGACTGTACAACTACAGCAATAATGAACACAAATAATGGTGAATACTAAAAAAGAATGCCGTAAAAAGTAACATTATCAGGACCAAAATTAATTTAAAACACATTAAGCACAGATTATTATCCCAGTATAATAACTAAGAGGAAAAAGTAATCCAACAAAAGAATGAAGGAAAGAGAAAAATAGGATGATGATGACGATGGTGACAGGGTATGGAGAGACTGTCCGCAATTTCCTTTTTCTCTGTAAGAAATTTGGTTTGTGATGTTGAAGTGTACCGTTAGGTTTTGTAAGCCTATGTTAGGGATGGCTAATCTCTAAGAAAACTAACTTAAAATATGTTTATATTATCATTGTAAAGTCTAAGCCTTATTTTCGCGCAGTTTTTGCGCAATGCTATGTCTCTTATTTTTACCGCAGTTTAGGATACTAAACTAAACATTGGTCCATCTTACACTTTGAATATGCCATTTTGTTTTCTCTGGCCAATGCCATCTAAGGAAACATAAACGACTGAGTTTGCACCTGTTATTATTCGGTTGGAGTAAATAAACTTTCAATCCCATAGTCTTTTTCTGGAATATCGAGTTGAGGGGTCATTGTTCTATCTTTAATCGTATCATCTCGGAGCGTTGTATCGTTATCTATAGCGTTGGATCGTAACAACCCAAATAAATTATTCTTCTGTTTGCTGGTGATTCTAAACTGCATAGAGATATTAATATTGTGATGATACTCTAACTGATGAATTGCGAATGAATATCCTACGATAATGTTGTGTGAAATTAATAGACTTTTAACAATACTCATCCAATCGGATATCCAATTCTGAAGCTATATGGCCGTGTAACCGAAATATTCACTATGTGGATGAGGCGTTATGTATGATTAATTCTTATTACTATAAGATGGTTGACTGGCTAAAATGTAAAAGGTTAGGTCTTTTAAGAAAACACATTTAGAAGCACCTAATCACAGATTCACTCCACCTTGCCCTGAAGGATATTTTGTTCCAGTTGATGGTGTTTCGCTAGTCAGAGGTGTTTTGGTCCAAGAAATTACTATTTTGCGGAGTAACATTTTTCTTGTTCATAAGCCGCAACTCATTGATCTAGGCAATCTAGTTTCAACTAGTGATTCACCATTTCAGAATCCACGCCCCACCTACCGAAGTCTGAACAACCAAGTGGTATCACCAATGTCTAATAAAACGTGTGACTCACGAAAGTGAATGTAGGTGCCGAGAACATCTGAACTTTTTTGCAAGTTTTTGACCACATAAATTAAGACACGATTTAACTTCAAATACCAGACATACTTTTGAATTGGTGTCTGTTACCTCCGTCAAAAGTGCCATTGGTTGCATTATTTTATTTATTTTAAAAGTTGTGTTGTTAATGAACTAATTGGCAACATTACTATATAGCTCAGATGAAGAGCTTTTGATTGACACCTCACCCATTTCTGTATGACCTATAATTCGAAAATAACTGAATGGTGAATGAAACCCATTATCGCGTACCATTTCATTTATTGTGCATGAAATTAGTTGCTTTCTCTTTATAGATTATGGTGCGTTGTGGCCCGATAATTCAGTTGTATGTACAAATGAGTCACATCGCCTGAAATGCACAAGCAATAAGTATCAGATTTTATGTTATATTGTAAGAGGTTGGGAGGGCTAAGTTGAATGACTCAACATGTGGGTGGATTTGAGTGCAGGAGACCAGGCAGGTATATTCGAGACAAATCACGTGCTTAAATAAATCGCAGTGTATCAACCTAGCATTTTTATCATGTATCATATATAAGTAAATTGAAAGCTGGGAAAGTGTTGATAGTTTGCAACTTTTACCATCCAATTGTGAAATTTACAAGACTTAGCTATGAAAAATAGTTGCCTCAAGAGATTCCAATAAGAATATTTTAAATAAAAAACAAGAAGAGTCATAACAGCTTCCAAGAATTAGATTTTTATCATGTTGATATGCAATAGAGACAACGTGTAATAAGCGATTAAATGACGCTTGATTTAATCTGAATTGCATTAGTGAGACTGTTCACGGGTTTATTACTAATAAGCATGTACAATCAACTTGTTTTTTTACACAACACTTAGGCTTTTATTAGCTTACTATCACATTTATACAACATTTAGTTTATAAGGTGAAGTATAAAACGAACTTTCCATATCAGACAGACAGACGAAACCAAAGTGGAACCTCACACACACAAGTGCATCGGTTCAAGTCGTCACACTTCACAGTCGTATACAAAGAACAAGTGATATCAAAGTAGACAAAGTTGTGTAACAATAAACAATCTGAAAATGAAGGTTATTGGGAATATTCAAGCTTTAGATGTCAAGGAGTGGATACATATGCACCTTGTCAGCAAAAGTCATCAATCACTGATTCCTATCGTCTCGGGAACCCCAACCAGTTAGCTAGTCTACATCTCTACATAAGCCTCAGACCAACAGTCAAGAAATTCATCAACTGATGCCACCCTCGACTCTATTTCGATGTAATTCCACTTCCTCTAGCATGTCACACCATCCAAAGGCAATTTATCACATCAATATTTTATGAGGCTCTGCGTACACCGAATACTTAATCCGGTGGTTAAGAAGTACCAGTTGTTTTCATGCGATCCTCATAAATCTTAATTTCAACATTTATGGTCATCGAACATACGCAGTTAAGACGGAAACTATTTTAGTACAGATAAAAAGTTGTTTTAGGTTTGCTTCGAAAACAAACCAGTGTAGACGAACATATCCACTTTTGTACATATCTTAACGATTATTTTACTTGGTAGTGACTAGCAGAGGAATTCATGACGCGCATTTCGTCCTAGTTGGGACACGTCAGCTGAATGTATCTGCACTCCAGTGCGAAGTGATGTTCCCATTGAGAATCGAAACTCGTGCCCATCGCTTCAAACGCCAAAGCGTTATCCACTAGGCCACTGAAGCACAACAGCCACCTCTTATACAATGCGTATTAGTTATTACTATTTGTTGATATGCTTGTAGTTCCCCGTTGTTTTACTAGGTCGAATTGTTCGACCTCCTTTGACATATGGGCTCCTATTTGGATGCCTCGATATGATCATAATGATAACTTACTTGGTTGTGGCTAGCAGATGAGTCTAAAACGCGCATTTCGTGCTAGCGAGGCATCCACAAAGGTGCCTATACGCTAGTTCGATCCAGTAAAACAACGGAGAACTACAACCATCAACAAACAGTAATATCCTACGATTAGTTTTAAAACTCTTTCATCTTGAAAACCATGTGCTCGTACAGTAGAGAAGAGAATTCTTCTCAGTGTATTGAGGGAAAAATGCACTGATAGTGCGTTTTCCAATTCAGTTCAAAGTTTTACTGATACTATTTTCCAACTGTATTTAGTCGACTTGCTTCAACTAGTCGATTGCTAACCGTTACTAAAAAGCATTTTCGCCAAACTTTACACTAAATACTAACTTCAGATAATCCACGGTAAATTTCATACCTATTGACTCTCATGGTTAACGTTTGCCTTCAATCTCAGTGAATTGCATAACATGTACAACCATGAGTATAGAATTGAAAGATCCCAACTATAACTTTCTGTATAACTGGTTGAAGTGCATATACCCGCCTCTACCACAGATATTCTTTTGAGTCGAATCAGAATTTTTAAGACAAAAAGTTTGATTACAATTGTAGGTCCTAAGTGTTATCGATCACTAACATACATCGCACCTGAATTCATGGATTTCTGCCATCAGTAATTAAAAATATCAGAACTTAACATATACACGTCAATTCATAACACATAATGAAACCATCTGTCATTGTCATGAACAAGCATATCTTTGCTATCAAGTAACTCACCGATACTTTTACCCAAGAATCGAAGAATAATTGCCGACAAAAGTTTAGTATTCCCATTACTATCAACAAAAACAGCACCGAGAATCGATTCAAACACATCAGCTAACACCTTGATATTAAGTCCAAGAGTAACTTTCTTTGTCAACAACTACATAAAGAATGAAACCCAGAAGAAGGGTTAGTTAAGTGAGACACACAGAAAAAAGCTTATTATGTAAAAATTATATAAGTATGTTTGACGTTCTCCCTTGAAAACCTATGTGTATTTAAGCAAAACAGCACATATACTTTGTTTTTCTTCTAAAAACTCTGATGTTCATAAAACTACGGAGATAAGTCATAAAAAGTAATATATTCTCTTCACTAAACGGTTCCAAATAACACGGATCAATTATATAGTGAGATAATTACATATGACATGAAACTGCAGTCTTATATGACGATATACAATGTCTACTATTGATGAAATACTTCCACTGGTAGCCAGTATTTTTTGTTGATGACATAATTTTCTACAAACATCAAGCATCAACATTAGTCTACCGAACCACAGCTCAGATAGTTAAAAAGATAAACAATATCTTTAACCCGCCCCCCTCTCTAAATCCAAGTAGATAAGTAAGTAAAACAAAATAAATTTATTTCACCCATAGTAGCTAACCTATTTATTAGTAGATTCCAGGAAAGTCTCTTCACTCACTTACTAAAGCCAAAAATTTGACTGACATATGTTGATAACACATTCATAATTTTAAAACGTGACTTATGCACAGGCATTCTGAGATCAACTAAACTCTATCTAGATCTCCAGTATCAAAGTTCATCTCAGAAAAATAAACAGATAAGAGGCAACTGCATTTCCTGGATTGTCTTGTTAAACGGAAATAAAATGAACATTTAGGCATAATCCATTTCAGGAAAGTAACACATTCAACAAATATTTAGATTTCAACTCATCACATCATCTAATTAGTACGAAAATTTCTGTTGCCCCTAGTCTTTTAAGGAGAGCACACTCTCTAGTAACGAGTGAAAATGAAAGAGTTAAGGAATTAAAATATGTGAACAGGGTATTTAAAATGAATAATTATCCGGAATAATTCATTTGCAAAATACAAACTAATATTCGATTTACAGCAGTATCTTCAAAATATCACTACAGTTTCCAGTAGAAAATTCAAAACTCTATCAAAGTTATAGAATCAGTTCAAAAAAAGTTATCAGATTGTAAACAAGAGTGAAAGTTCTGCCACTATAGTATAGCTCGTGATCTTCTATGCAGTTTATCAAATGTAACGGTCGTTAACAGACTCCGCCTCGAAGCTAATAAAGTTTACAAACATTTATATCATATTATTATTTGTCCCTTGGGTTCCTAATGGAACATAGGGCTTCAGTAGCACGTCTCCAATGAGCTCTGTTCTCTGAAATCTTTTGAACCTGGCTCCACGACAGCCCACAGACTCTCATTTCCTCCTCGCACGATCTCCTCCATGTCACCCTCACCTCGGACGCCCAACTCGTCGCTTCCCATAAGGGTTCCACTCTACGGCCTGACACGTGATGTCCACAGTCGGCCTTCTCAGTGTATCCACAGCCCAATCCATCTCCACTTCATTCTGCATATTTGTTGAGCGATTGGTTCTTGGTTGGTTCGTTCCCAGAGTTCTTTGTTGCTTATTCTTTCTGGCTATCTGATTTTCAGTATTGAGCGTAAGCAGTTGTTGATGAATGCCTGCAGTTTGTTGGAAATCCCTTTCGTAACGCGCCAAGTCTTTGAGCCATACAGAAGCAATGACTTGACTGGATTGGTGTTTAAAACCCGGATCTTTTTCAACATGCTGAGTGCAGAAGATCTCCACACTGGTTTCAGGCTAATGAAAGCCTGTCTTGCTTTTCCGATTCTGACTTTGACATCCTCGTCTGTGCCGCCTGTAGTTGAAACGGTGCTTCCTAGATAGGTGGAAACTACTCCCTTTAAGTTTCTCCCGTCTACAAACATCTACATCTATCTAATTATAATTGCTTGTATTATACCGTCGTTGATTGGACCGAATTGATCAGTCTATTGACATGTAGGCTCTTGTGGGGATGCCTCGAAATTACCTGTGCATCCAGCTGACGAGTCCCAAATAGGACGAAGTGCGCATCCTGGACTCCATTGTTAGCCACTGCCCACATCTGTCTGTTTGGTTATAACAACTAATATACTAACTCTGGGATTATGCAAGTAAAAATACACCTTATAAGAAGAACTAGATGACTGACTGTTGAAATTACTCGATTCATGAGATATCTCAGTCTTAGGAAACTGGTCTTTGAGCTATCGATATGAGTCAATGGGAATAATACTTCCACACATAGGATAAGTTGCATTTAGGCTAAACGATAAACATACATTATCTTATCTCTTATGCTGATATAATTACAGAATACTGTTGAGAAAATGAGAAAATAAACTGTCAAGAAATCTGATAAATTACCTCAATACGTTCAGAGATAGAATCAGTTTGGCGATGAATATTCTGTATTTCATCGACACAAACTTTTAAATCACAAGCTCCAAAATCAATATATGGATGAATTTCATGCTCAACTACGGTATTTGCTAAATTGTTATTGCTTACAATAACAGATCGAGTTGTAGACAGTTTACCTGGAAAATAGTAGTTGATATAAAAAGAGAAACAGAAGAAAACATATTATCAATGATGAGGGAACTAATTACAACAGCTATTTTGACTTGAGTATTGCATTTGGTGGTTATTAGTGGAATCCAGAATGTACACTTCGTCCTATTTGGGATTCATCACCCGGGAAAGCCCACCGAAGTACACTACAACATAATGAATATTTCAGCATTATCAAAGCAACGAACCTCTCCTGGTTAACTAATTCACTAGTTACTAGCCGGTCCTAAGCTCAGGTAAACAAGGGACGTTGGGCATAGGGCTACCAACCCTACACCACAAAACCAATCCAATCGCTAAAAAACTTCAAAGCACAAACAAAATATAAAACACAAAAACAAAATCATTCCTCACTCGAATCGGAGAGACAAAATGACGCCGGTCGGTGAAAGACTTCTGGAAACCAATTGGCCAATATGTCGACTCTTCTCTTCATGAAAGCGAAAGTAGGAACGGGGACATGGAATGTCCACACCATGTTTGAAGCTGGCTAACAAGGCTGCCCAGATTGCAAAAGAGATATGAAGGTATAGCATAAAAGTGCGAAGCATCTGTGAAAGCAGGTGGAATGGAATTGGACTCTCCAAACTCTCAACTCGACAGTAAATAATCTACTCCAACACTGTAACCCACACAACAACCACGAGCACACTCAGTTTTCAACTGACTATCACGATGTCCCAACACCATCAAAGGCTCTCATACAGTGGGAACCAATCTCCTCTCCTCCTGCAGGATCATGACAACAATATTCAAACCAAAAGGAAGGAAAGTCACAATCATACAATACTACGCTATGCACCTACCAATAATGCAGATCAAGAGAAAAAGGAGGAATTCCATAGACAACTGCAATCAGTAATCGACAGGACTGCACCCCAGTTGGAGACATCAAGATTCTAATAGACGACATGAATGCCAAACTGGGAGCTGACAACACATGAAGAGAACACTAATCAGGGGTCGAGAAGCACTCGGTGAAATCATGAATAAGAATGGAGAACTGTTTGCAGATTTATGCGCATTCAACGATTTGGCGATTGGAGGCAGTGTGTACAAACACATGGAAACTGATAGAATAGCAAGAGGAAGATGGTAAAGCAGAAGATAAACCAGTCCAGTCCAGTCCAGTGCGGTGCAGTGCAGTGATGAACAACCAAAAGAGGAACTGAACACAACCTACTAAACATTACACTCGACAAGTGTGGAAGTGAAGAACAGTGCACACAAGCACAAAACACACTTCTACGACACACTGGCAAGTGAAGCAGAACACGCTGCAGATAAGAGAGACAGAGACCTGACAAAACTATATGGAATAACAAGGTTACTGTCTGGTAGGGAAGAGATCAAGGCACACGAAACAAATGAAAGATAGTGAAGAAAACTTAGTTATCAAGGAGTAGAAAAACAAAGGAAACGATGGGCTGACCACTTCAAAAAGCTCTTCAATCGACTACCACCACCTACAACTCGTCCAGAAATATCAAAAGCAACCGCAGAACTACCAGTGAACACATGACTTTCGACAAAAGTGAAGTCGTGGACGCCATAAACTTGCTGAGATCCAGAGAAGCAGCACGACCAGTTAGAATTCCACCAGAAGCACTCAAAACATACACAGAGACAACAACGGACATGCTCACACCACTACACCAGAAGGTTTACAAGCAAGAAGGGAAAGATACCTTCCGACTGGAACAAGGGCTACCTTGTCAAACTCCCAAACAAGGGAGACCCAAGTCTTTGCCCCAACTAGCACGGAATCATGATCCTGTCCACACCAACCAATATATCAGGCCGCATCATCACGCAGAGACTAAAAACAAGATGATCTGGATTCAGAATTACGACCGGAACAGGCTGACTGGATTCAGGAAGTACAAATCATGTGCACATCAAATTCCAACACTATGCTGCTACGCATCATCATAGAACAGAGCACAGAATGCCAGTCAACTACATCTTTACCTTAACTTCATCGACTTTGAAAAGGCTGTGCTTCGACAGCGTCGACCCAAAAGCAAATTGGTAGGCAGCTGCCTCAACACTACGCTTTTAGTGTCACAAATCTTTATCAACCTCATTCAACACCAGCTATTTGCTATATGATGCCACATGCTAACCAAGTGATTCACAATGCAAAGCTCAGTCATCCCTCTGAAGTAAAGACAGGAGTAAAACAAGGTTGCTGCCTACTATCACCTATCATCTCCCTGATTCAGGTAGACTGGATCATGCAACAAACTGTGAGGAGCTGTGAGAAGATGGGCATATGCTATTTGACTAATGAAAAGACCCCAGAAGAAGATTCGCAATTCCCCAACCATGATTTATGTCAAGTGTCTTGCCACACAAACTCGAAGATCTACAGGCAAAACCAACAAGTTGACAGAAGAGAAGAGGCAGCGAAGACGGGACATCCTTCAGGTGAACGTAGACGAGACAGAGATGATGAAGATACCCTACACAATCACCACCAACAGCAACAACACGCACTAATCACCATCAATGGGAGAAATCTAAAGGAGGTTGTCTCTTTCACATACCTGTCCAGGCAGCATCGTTTCAACTACAGGCATCACAGGCACAGATGACGACCCCAAAGTCACCATCGGAAAGACAGCAAGACAGGTCTTCCTGCATTGTTCTGAAATCAGTGTACAGATCTACTCAACTCTACTGCACTCAGCAGAAAGCGTGAACAACATCCGGATTTTCAACACGAATTCAGTCAAGTAAGTCAGTGCTTCTATGTGATGCTCGACAGACTTGGCGACGCGTCACGAAAACCACTTACAACAAACTACAGACATTCATCAACACCTGCCTCATACCCCCCCCCTACGCTCACTCGATACTGAAGATCAGATGGTCAGAATAATAACAATAAGCAACAAGGAACTCACTGTGGCTGGCTGGCAACGAACCAACCAACAACCCATAGCCCAACGAATATGCAGAAGAAAATGCAGATTAATTGGGATTTACATACACTGAGAAGACGGTTTGGTGACATCACGCGCTAGGCCAGGTCAGGTCGGGCCGGACTCTCGTGTGGAACACAAATGGGAAACGACAGGTTGGGCGTCCGAGGTGAGGGTGACATGGAGGAGATCATGTGAGGAAGAAATGAAAGCTTGTGGGCAGTCGTGGAGCCAGGTTGGAAAGACCACAGGGTGTAGAGTGAAATGGAGACGTGCTACTGAAGCCCTATGTTCCACTAGGAACCCAGGGGACAAATAATAATAATAAACCTGTCAGCTGACGAGGAACCTAGTTTTCTGTGCAGGCCAAGATCAGTAGAATACGATATCAACCATTAACTCGGTGCTTTAAATTAAAGTTCTTCAATCAAGAAAACACAACTGCACATAAGAATATAGCAGTATTTTTCACATTTTCTCCTCTATATATTATGTGATGGGTGCCTATCATGCATTTCAGTTGATGGAATATATTTGTCATATGTGGCAGAGAAAAAGTATTTTATGGGACATCGTGAAAGTTTTATATGCTTTTTTAAACTTCTGATGCAATGATATTTGCTTGACTAATGCGGTTATTTTCAATATCAAGTGAATGATACCTATGGTGTTCATTTGTTTCACACTATAACAGTTTATAATCATTACATCAAACTGAAATTTATCGTCCTATGAAAAAACTGTATACAACTAGGTGTGGCAGACATACACATATAGTAGATATATTTTATAATATCTATATAATATCTTATAATACTAGGTGATGATTAAAGGTGAAAAATGATAATCATTATGATGCTGCCTCTCTCTAATTCAGTTGGGATAGGAAGCCCTGACTAGGCGGCCAGCGTGAATACCATTAAGCGATAGTACACATGTCGCAAATTCACATGGTAGTCGGACAAAACCCACCTTGGTGATTGAAGTGAAATAAAACCTGGTCAGTGGTCGGATCAGTTGGTAGAGCATTGGGCTGGAAACCCGGTGGTCTCTGGTTCGAATCCGGTCGCGGTCCAAATTTTCATTTCACCTTTAATCATCACCCAGTAAAAATACTAGTTTGCCAAACGGCTATCTCAGATAGTTAAAATGATACATCTTATTGATTAAAAGGTGATATTATAATTTTTTTATTTATTAAAAAAACAAACACCCTTAACCAATTACTTGCATTTAATTAATTCTAGTGGAAATCGAGTTTACCTGGAGATGAATGCAAACAATTTCTGAACAGATAATCGGTAACAATATGGCCCAAAACTGAATCTCCAAGAAATTCCAGTCTTTTATATTTGAGAGATAACAATATACAGCCGATCAACCCCAATAGAATATATGAAAAATTAAAAATAATAAATGACTAGAGGGGGATTTAAAAATACAAACAACGAATGTAAACAATACAGATGAGACAATAAAAGGATAAGTATGAATAGTGTTAGAACTATGATACTACTGTGGGCATATAGACTGCATAAATCCATTTCACTATATATAACGGACTTTTATTACCTTTATTGTATTAGTTAGGCACTTAGGATTTCAGCTGTCAGCAGGAATCAACTGAAATACAGATTACCAGTAAACTTTATGAAAATTGAACAGATTGGAAGACAGAACAAATGTTAACGTACTTAAACGGATGGATTATCAGGCCTTATATGGAAGGCGTACTTGAAGATCATGACAAGAATACAAGCATTGTTTAGAAGTTGTTTAGTTGATAAACCCATAACTTCTTTTCATGTTACATTATGCAGACTGAAAGGGTGTGAAAATTAAGGCGAACAAACTACATGTCATTCATAAAAACCAACTTCGATAAATGAAAAAACTACATTGGAAAAAGTAGCTAACGTCTTTGTTTACTTTCGTATCAGTTAGTAGTTAAGCGTTACATAATATCCGATTCTGAAAGTGTACAGAAACTAGGATGTTTCTGTGAAATAACATTTCATGAAAAATCATGTACTTGCGGTTGGTACTTCAGGTACACATAACTTGTACATATTGCAGTATCTTAGATTACTAACTGTATATGATTACGAAAAAGAAAGATAATCTTAAATTACCCATTGAACAAACGTGAAGCAAAAGAAGAACAGTAAAAATATACATTGCTATTCGCATTCGTCCATGTCACCGAAAGGGGAAGGAATCAACTTTGACCAACTAAGAACAAGCACAGGGAGTTCCAAAGGCATCCAGCAACTGTCAGTGTAATCACATGAAGGTCTCGCAACATAAAGGAGACTTAGAAACAATAAATTCAGGTAAACGAGACGTTTTTTATGTCCTGAGACATGACCGATAAAAGAAGAAAATATGAAAAGACTAAGATTTCGATCATATGTGTCTTCTTAGCACTGTGTGAGTAATGACTGGCCTAGGCAAAGGGCGACAGGCAAGTTGGTCGATTAGGTTGTGAATCATCAGAGATTGAAGTGACTAGGACATATGTTGAACATGTCGCGTCACCGCCTACCTCTTCATGTTGTGCTAGCAGAATTTAGACTGGGTTGGAAATATGGAAACTTGAACCAATGCACTTCCGTGTGAGGTTCTACGTTGATTTTTTTTGTTTTCCTGTCTGCCCTCATATTTTGAAATAAAAATGTCGACAGTTGAAAATTCACTTTTCTAAGAGTAAAACCAGTAGTTCACTCCTTATTATCATGAAGCAGATACCTTGGAGAACATGCTGTTTTCAATGGAGTCAGAGTCACTCATAAAATCACTGGTCGAAACCCCAATATTTTACTGATAATCAGTGGAATTTGTAAAAAGTCAGTCAAATTTATTGATACTATTTTTCAGGGAGGCGCTTTTTAAGGAACTAAAAACATTTCTGTGTTGTTGCTTGTGTTATTTTATAGTTGGTTGAACCGAACTGACCGGTCTCTTGCCATATGGGCTCCTGCGCGGACGTCTCGATATTGCTTGTGTTTTAATTATATATAATAATGATGGATAGTGGCTAGCAGTAGAATCCAGGATGCGCGTTACGTCCATCATTAATACATAATTAAAAAATGTCGAGGCATCCACACAGGCTAGTAGGGTGGATAGTAAAGACTGATATAAAGAGTAGAAAAAAGTGTATGAAAGGAGAGAGAATCTAAAAATGAGTTAGTGAGAACATTCAAGCTTTAGAAGACATCAAGGAGTAAATACGTCTGCGCCACTGTGACCGATTTTCAACCATATCACCAAGAGTTCTTCAACACGGATTCCTATCGTTTCAGTCACCCTAAACAGGTAGTTTATATCTCTACCCACAGATCAGCCCAACAGACAGAAACTTCGTGAACTGGAGCAACGTTAAGGTTTGGTCACGTTAAACCCGCCTCCTACCTAATGCCTGATACAAATTCCCCTAGCATGGAATGTTGAGGTGGGCAGTGGATCGGCATGCGCAACAAATGTCCAAGCCATCTCAGATGATGAAGGTTCATAACCTCATCAATCGATTTATTTGTCTTGCTTGGTGTCATTCACCTAACCTCTAAATTGCTCACACAGTGATTCCACCATGCTACAAAGACATCTCTGGTCAAAACCCTGAAACTCCTTCACATCTTCTCCTTTCAACGGTCATGTCTCACAGTCGCATAAGAGGACAAAATGGAATGTATCGCAGTATACTTGTTTTTTGATGGGTAGTCGGATATCTTTCTAGTCAGCGTCACAGAAGACGCAAGTTGCCAAATGACAAATGAATCTTCTGAATCCGAGCTGAGATTTCGTCAGCAACAAGGTCGTTCCGGTTGATCCAACTCCCCAAGCAAGTGAAGTGGTCGACACATTCGATCCATCACTTCACTCTCTATTATTAAAATGGGAGTAGCTTCAAATCAGCCGTGGGGCATCATTGTACATGTGACAGGTGAGAAACGCATTCCGAACATATTCAGACTTCTGCTCAATGCATTCAATAGATACTGTATTTTGTCAGCATCTTCCCCTTAGCAGGACAATGTCGTCCGCGTACTCAAAGTCAGCCACATGTCCTCCAAGGAGTAGATCAATTCCAGTGAAGTCAGACGTACATGAGGTTATGTCCATTAGTACATCTATGAAGAAGATAAATAGGAAAGGTGACAGTGAGCATTGCTGACGGACACCACTACTTTTCGTCAATTCAAATGACAACTCTCCACCAGCTTCTATATAGCTGTGTGAGTTCGAGTTGAGAGCGTTGATTAGCGTTATACACTTACTCGGTACTCCTTTCACTGTCAGACACTGCCACAACACCTCACGGTCGACAGAGTTAAATGCTACTTTTAGGTCAAAAAAGATGGCATGTCGGCTAGTGGCTGGTAAGCATACCTGTGTTCCATAACTTGTCGAACGATGAAAATCTGATCGATACACCCTCATCTAGGTATGAGACCTGCCTGGTTTTCTTGACTTTGCTTTTTTCGACCTCCAGTTAGGCATCGGATAACCAAAGACTCTATCTAGGATCTTGGACACAATATCAGTTAAACTGATTCCCCTGAGCTTGTTACAAGAAGGCTTCTTTCCTTACATATAGACTGAGATGATCAATGAAGTACACCAGTTTGATGAGACTACCTCTCATTCCTATACACTACCCAGTGTGCGTTGGTAAACTGGGACCAGTAACTTGTAGTCTTGATCGAAAAAGCTACGAAACACACTCAGCCATTTGAATTCATTCCACTTTTATGTAGATTATTTACGAAATATCAGAAAAGCTAAATCCCTCCTCAAGTGAACAATGCACCCTGTGGGGTAGGCAACTCAGCATATCAAACTGTTTTGGTAGATGAATTATTTTCAGGCACAAAATTTAATCATCAATGTCTTTCTGAGCATACTTCTCGAGAATACCAAGTCTATGGTAGTACTTCCATCAAAATACTTTTTTATACAACAGGTGGTTAGCTTGTGTTTTACGCACAACGAACATGATGATTGTTGAGCCTTTACAAGTACAAGCATCTTTATGAAGACTGATTGGACTGAATAATTCACTTGGTTATTGATTCAGTATCGGTGAAATACCCCTCTGTGTCAATGAAGCTAGCTGCTTGACAAGTTTTTCCTAGAATATTTCCTCAACACATCAAAACTTACAATGACAATTAAGAAGGAAAACAATTGTTCAGTATTTTCCTTTTGGTTTTTCCTTCTTATCGTCTTAGATATTACTGATTATGTTCCATATTGAAGTCTTTTTTATTCCAGTCATACAGTTTTCAGACGTATTTCAAATTCAATGATCCAGAATCTTTTCTACGTGTGTTTAAAAGCTTTGGTATAAGATTGCGGTTTGGTTAGTGGTTAGGGGTGGAATTAAAGACGGGCGTTTCATCCTCAATGGAACTCTTCAGATGGACGTGCTTGCAGGTGACGAGCCACAAGGAGAAGAAAAAGTGCGAATACCCCTATATATTGCCTGGATGTTTTTCGTTATAAGTTAGCTGGTGGTGGTTGGTGGCCGGCAGTGGAAGCCAAAACATGTGGTTCGTCTTACTTGGAACTCGTCAGCTGAACATACCTGCATCCTAGGTTTCTCTGCTAGCCATCAACACGTAAATTATTCTATCAATAACATGTATTGTGAAAACAAAGGGGTAACAAAAGAAAAAATTCTCGTTTCCTCTTATTTCCTGATTAAAACTGTTCAATTGCATTGAAAATTGTTGCAAACAAATTGTTACATCGGTCAAAAACGGGAAGACAATAATCACTGAAAAGTTTTATCTGTCACATTATTTAAGTTTTCTAAAGAATTACTTCACCGATCACTTATTACTTATTCGGCAACACTATTCCAAGAGTCTCAGCAACGCGAAGTAAATTTCCCTTCCCATCCTTCCGAAGATTAAGCCATATTTGGTAGGATAGTGGAAACTTATCTTCTAGAACTGTCTCCGCTGTCAAGCAAACGTTGTGACACGAAACTGTCGACTGATCTGTGCTCACCCATGATGGAACATGTTAGTATCAGCACTAGACATTCTGTATCTGCATAAGACCTATGTACCCAGCTTCTCAGGAGCAGTTGAAGTAATATATGCACATGGAAGTGGCTAGCTGTGACACTGTCCTTCGCACACCTACTCACCATTGAGCAACTTGCATAAGTTACTTGCACAGCGGATCCATAGGATATTCTTTTGATAGCCTTCATTAGTTCATGTCGTAGTACGTCATCTGCTGCATCTACATTGAATTCAAAGTTCAAATTAACCTCATCTTCTCCACACTGACAGGAGACTGATGCATAGCATTCTGTGATGAGTTATCACCCACTGTCTAGGCAGACACGTGATGCATGTATGAGTTCACGTTTGGTTAACTCATGCCTAACAATATTACGCTCACTTATTATTCACGATCTATGTGACTATCACAAACGGTGTGAGGAAAGGTGTACTCGGTACTGTTGAGACCGGAATTTTCTGTTCTCTGTTCTTATTCACTTTTTGATTTCTTAACTTTTCTATATCCTTGCCTTACTATTAGTGCAATTCTCATGTTGTTATTGTGTAAGCGATTTTCCTTTAGCTCAGTTGTTTAATTTTTTATTCCCTTCCTTATTGACATTTGTCTACTCATTTTGTTGAGAATATTTCTAATTCTTGATTTCAATTCACGCTGTCCAGCTTGCTTTTGCTTTTTACGTAATTATTTTAATGGTCACAACCTACCAAGAGCTTTTATTTAAAAAATGTTGACATTTTTAAGCACAAATACAGAAACTAGTGTATATATTTAAACTGGATGACGATTGAAAGTGAGATGAAAATTTGAACTGTGACCGAAATGGAACCAACGACCACCGGATTTCCAGTCCGACGCTCTGCAAACTAACCTACGGGGTCCGAGTGCTGATCACATTTTTATCTCCCTCCAATCATCAAGGCGGGTTTTGGCCGACTACCATGTGAATTCGTAACGCGTTACTACCGCTTGATCGTATTCACATTGGCTGCCTAGTCAGGACTTCTCATCCCAATCCAAATGTAACTGAATCAGAAAGGAGTAGCATCATGTTGATAATCATTTAAACTATCTGGTTGAGGTGAAATATATAAAAATCTGGCCAGCAGTCGACCTTGTAGCTCAGTTGGTAGAGCATCGGGCTGGAAACCCGGTGGTCGCTGGTTGGAATGCACCCACAGTCCAGATTTTCATTTCACCTTCCGTCATTATCCAGTATAAATGCTAGTCTGTCAAACCACGGCTATCTCAGATAGAGTGATAATTATATATCTCCACGCGAATGGACAGCTGATGAGGATAGTCGTCGAAAAAACATATTTCCTCGAGTCCTTATTGTTTGTTCTTCATAAATCAATGAGTATCTTTCAGTGAAATAAATCGATTGTTTCGTTTTCATGAATTATTGTGCATTCTGGACAAGAAATCCAGTTATTTGCATACATAAAGATGATTTAGATCGCCAAAACATATATGTGTTGCTGATAGGTAAAGGACTTTACTTTGTATTATACGAGATTGAGCGAGAGAGAGCTCTATATCATCTGACTCTGTGTGGGTGAATTGAGCATAGAGAACCTGGTAGGTATATGGATGATCAATCACGTATAATGCTTACATCGAAATTGAAGCGGGAAAACAATGCGGTTCAGGAGAATACTACTAGGCGAAGACCATGTGAATACCAGTGTGTTGCTGTTCAATAGTATGATGGGATTACTTAATGTTTTTGAGCAGAACAAAATGTTTTTGACGATAGAAGGAAATTAGTGGTGTGATCATGGTCAGATTAATGAGTACAAGTGGTATTTTCGAACACACAAATCAGGTTTAAGGTTGTGAAATGTGAATAACATGATTATATGTAGAAGGTTGAAATTGCTGGGGGATACTCAGTTAATTGGTTTAAACGGACTACGAGGACGTACCAGATATCTGTATGTGATGGAGGTGTTCAAGAATAGAATTGTTGATATTCCTTCTTCTTCCTCTGAATTACCATGTCGGACTTTATGGCCTGCACTGCATATGTACTTTTCTCCCCAGGAACACTGAGTTGACAAAGATCAGTATTCTATCCTGAACACATTGATGCATTAATTGTCTACTGGAGAATGTGATTCCTAAATTAGTTATGTGAAATATCTTTTTTAAAGATGCTGGAAGGCAATTTGAAAGTATTTCAGCTGGAATTTCACCTTTGAATTGCAGGATCATGTGAAGAGTTTCCTTTCAGACGGTTGGTACTTTTCGTATTTGTAGCTCTTCTTTCATGTTACAGACAATGAATTCAGGTGGATATTCATTTTCTAGTAGGATGTTATATGGAACTTGCAACTCGCTACCTAGCGTATCTTCAGAGTTGATCTTTTGAATTCTTGAGCATTACGAACGCACAAATTTCTGTTTGCTAGTGAGAAGGACGTAGCTTTGGAAGTTGCTAAACTGTCCAGTCCATGTCAGTTTTCTGTACATTGATCTCTGGATAAAATTATCTGATCTCCTTACTAGTAGTAGTATGTACATCTAGTAATGGTAATATCGAATTTATTTCACAATCTAGAGCAAATTTCAAATGAATAAATTGTGATCAAATCGATTAGAGCGGACATTATACTGAAGGAGATTAACTTCATCAATAAGACTGTTTGCTCTCTAAGTTGAATTTCACTGGTTGGAAGGTGTTTAACTACGCCGGGTTTAATATCTCTGAAAAAGAATAGATCATATGACTAGCACTCAAACGTGTACATGTGGTTGAAACGTCTATGTATATATATATAATTTATCATTATTATTGTTAATAATCTTGATCTAGGTAACCAGCGGTCATAAAGATTTCTTAAAATTATGTGTAACACTATATTTCTTTTATTGTAAAGTCAGTCAATAACTGACGTGAACAAAGAACGCACATATAAGTAGAAATGAAAAATTTAATTATTATTAAAAGGTTACATTTACCTTTGATAATTTCCCCAAATTTGTGTACTAGACGATGATTGATGTGTTACAGCTTCTGCAAGTAATTCAATCTCTTTGAAATAATAACCCAATTTTTTTTGTAATGGAAAAAATTTCTGATGTAAATCTTCAAAATCACCAATACTAATGCGATTCTTAGAATTGTTTAATGAATTGTACGCTGATGATATGCATAGAAACCGAGTTGATGGATTGATTTCATTAGTATAACTTTGTTCTAGACTCAAGTTCGATTGTAAAAAGAAGTGCCAAGGAGCATCAATTCTATAGTTTTTATCACTTACTATAGTGTTCCAATCCACAGGACATATTTGAAAGTAGTGGAGTAGATTGAATGCAGCTGGTAATCCAATATGCAATAAGAAACATCCCAGCAATGCTTCAATCATATCTGCCAACGATTTGTCAGACAAACGTGTATATAGGCGTGAATCATATTTACAGACCTATGGAGAAAAAAAACAACCAATTTATTTAGTGGCAAGTATGAAGACTTCTGTATCAGTTATGCGAAACTTATTGCTTGTTCATATAACGCATAATATATTGTTCCTTGTCCACAACAGCTATAAAATTACTACGTTCTTGTCAAGAAAAAACAACTGGTCTGGATGATACAGTGATAAAAGAGAATCCTTTGCTAGCCGACCTGTCAGTCGAAAAAATCCTCGTCAAATGAACATAAAGTAGAGAAAGAATCCTTTACCAGGTAAGCTAGAGGAATCGAAACAGCCATATAGATTGAAGCGATGTAAGATATCAGGGTGTATCCCATAAGAGAGAAAAAAACAGTAAAATACAGAGAAAGCCTATTTCAATGAACATCTTGACATTTAAGACTCTGTCAGCAGAAATAAATCTCATGTAAATGCACCGAATCTGAGTTGAAAATGTAAGTTTAGACTTCAGTAAGTCATCCTTCAAAATCCTCTTGAATAAAACGCAATCTCAAGCATAAATCCAACTTTCATGTTGTAATAATTAGGAATAAAACAATAGGGATCGAACCCGCGACCTTCAGGTTCCGCGGCCAGCGCGTTACCATTGAGCCACTGGGTCAGAATCCAATGCTCCATATTTCCAACTTCTGTTAGCTCACGATATATAGCGCAACCGCCACCCAATGTCATCGCTGAGTATTTGTCCTCATGGCCATCAGGCTTTGACTCCACCGGTCACGACTTGTCATTAAAACTTCGGGAATACTTCTCGAAACTAGTCACCAATGAGCACCAGTTCAATTAAATTTTGAGGGAGTTGTGGAGATTTGGAATTATTTCAAGTTGTTATTCATCGTAGACTGACATCAGTTGGAGGAACAAAGGAAACCTGGGAGCACAGGGTGGGTGCGAACTGCTGAGGAGTCCCATACTAGGACGAAACAGCTGTCCAGTGCTCCCAGGTTTCCTTTGTTCCTCCAATTGATGTCAGTCTACGATGAATAACAACTTGAAATAATTCCAAATCTCCACAACTCCCTCAAAATTTAATAAAACAATAGTAAACGTAAATCAGTAATCGAAGATGTTTTACAGACATCTTATGAGTAATGATACCCATAGGGGGAAACTAGAGTCTATATTTCGTTTACCTGCATACGAGAACTCGTAATCATGGCACTAAATAAGGGTATTTGCTAAGGAAGTGAGTAAACTAACAACTCATATTCCATAATCACAACATGAAAGCAAAATAATATTCTTTCAATTCTTCCCTTTCATGGATTTGAAGGAAGAAAGAAGAAATACAGTTGAAGAATTAGCATACATGTATTTCATCGATACTCCTCAGCTGCTCCATAACCATTGGAATATAATATTTATCATGAACAATATATCATCCAACGTACTTTAACAGATCAACAAGAACTTTTCTAATTCACATGGTAGGGGAATGTCATAAAGTTGCTGAAATCCAGGGAAGCAGCACGACCAGTTAGAATTCCACCAGAAGCACTCAAAACATACACAGAGACAACAACGGACATGCTCACACCACTACACCAGAAGGTTTACAAGCAAGAAGGGAAAGATACCTTCCGACTGGAACAAGGGCTACCTTGTCAAACTCCCAAACAAGGGAGACCCAAGTCTTTGCCCCAACTAGCACGGAATCATGATCCTGTCCACACCAACCAATATATTAGGCCGCATCATCACGCAGAGACTAAAAACAAGATGATCTGGATTCAGAATTACGACCGGAACAGGCTAACTGGATTCAGGAAGTACAAATCATGTGCACATCAAATTCCAACACTATGCTGCTACGCATCATCATAGAACAGAGCACAGAATGCCAGTCAACTGCATCTTTACCTTAACTTCATCGACTTTGAAAAGGCTGTGCTTCGACAGCGTCGACCCAAAAGCAAATTGGTAGGCAGCTGCCTCAACACTACGCTTTTAGTGTCACAAATCTTTATCAACCTCATTCAACACCAGCTATTTGCTATATGATGCCACATGCTAGCCAAGTGATTCACAATGCAAAGCTCAGTCATCCCTCTGAAGTAAAGACAGGAGTAAAACAAGGTTGCTGCCTACTATCACCTATCATCTCCCTGATTCAGGTAGACTGGATCATGCAACAAACTGTGAGGAGCTGTGAGAAGATGGGCATATGCTATTTGACTAATGAAAAGACCCCAGAAGAAGATTCGCATTTCCACAACCATGATTTATGTCAAGTGTCTTGCCACACAAACTCGAAGATCTACAGGCAAAACCAACAAGTTGACAGAAGAGAAGAGGCAGCGAAGACGGGACATCCTTCAGGTGAACGTAGACGAGACAGAGATGATGAAGATACCCTACACAATCACCACCAACAGCAACAACACGCACCATTCACCATCAATAGGAGAAATCTAAAGGAGGTTGTCTCTTTCACATACCTGTCCAGGCAGCATCGTTTCAACTACAGGCATCACAGGCACAGATGACGACCCCAAAGTCACCATCGGAAAGACAGCAAGACAGGTCTTCCTGCATTGTTCTGAAATCAGTGTACAGATCTACTCAACTCTACTGCACTCAGCAGAAAGCGTGAACAACATCCGGATTTTCAACACGAATTCAGTCAAGTAAGTCAGTGCTTCTATGTGATGCTCGACAGACTTGGCGACGCGTCACGAAAACCACTTACAACAAACTACAGACATTCATCAACACCTGCCTCATACCCCCCCCCCTACGCTCACTCGATACTGAAGATCAGATGGTCAGAATGATAACAATAAGCAACAAGGAACTCACTGTGGCTGGCTGACTGACTGACTGGCTGGCTGGCCGGCAACGAACCAACCAACAACCTATAGCCCAACGAATATGCAGAAGAAGAAAATGCAGATTAATTGGGATTTACATACACTGAGAAGACGGTTTGGTGACATCATGCGCTAGGCCAGGTCAGGTCGGGCCGGGCCCTCGTGTGGAACACAAATGGGAAACGACAGGTTAGGCGTCCGAGGTGAGGGTGACATGGAGGAGATCATGTGAGGAAGAAATGAAAGCTTGTGGGCAGTCGTGGAGCCAGGTTGGAAAGACCACAGGGTGTAGAGTGAAATGGAGACGTGCTACTGAAGCCCTATGTTCCACTAGGAACCCAAAGGACAAATAATAATAAGTCAGTTTCTTATCGGCGTAACGTTTTTCCTTTGTTTTGTTATTGGTTCAAAAAATTACAGTTTGAAAATATTTTATAAACGTCTATTATATGGAAGTTCATGATGCCATCCGGTAGCACAAATTTCGGCAAGTGGGACGAAACTAGTCAGCGTAACCACTGGTCATGAACCCTATTTTACACGGGTTTTTTTCTTCCAGTTTCTGGTAGAACTATCTAATTGAAGTGATTGTCCGCTGCTGTTAAACGCCGTCCATCTCTCAGCAATACGTGCTGTGCACTTAAACTTGATATCCGTGCTGATAATCATCAAACCAATATCATTCTTTGAACTAAATTAGAAGTAGGTCATTAGAACAATATTCAGAATTCAAATGAGAAAGGATGATACAGAAACTGTATTTTTCGAGCTGATAAAACAACAAACGATATACGAGGAATCAAGTTTTTAGAGTACTACAAATAACCAATAATACCATTTTACTGAGTTCTTTGAATCATTCGACTTTAACTACTTTGTTAACCATAAACAAATGAAGGGAGTTATGTGGTCTAGGCAAAGTAATAAGAGACATAAAAATTTGTGCTAAATGTCTACTCTTTTTACGGTCTAATCCTTTTCATGGATTGCTTTTGCAGCTGACAAAGCATTCATTATAAGTTACACGGTAACAACTATACCTCACAGAGTATATATTTTATGGCTAACAGATGATGGTATTTGTGTGCTAGATTTCACACAACTCTAACCAAAATATGCATCAATGTTAATATACACGATAGCATTTGAATAAGTGTCAGGTTGGAAAAGGGTGAGGATGATCACACTAAAATATAGTATTCATCTATGTAGTCTCTAATTGCTATTGTGAAATGACGATATGAAGGTCGCGGGTTCGATCCCTGCTAGTGGGGTCGTGGGTGCGCACTGCTGAGGAGTCCCATACTAGGATGAAACAGCTGTCCAGTGCTCCCAGGTTTCCTTTGTTCCTCCAACTGATGTCAGTCTACGATGAATAACAACTTGAAATATTGTGAAATGTTTAATGGAATATACTCTCTGAGAGAGATTCACATGACAACCAAACACAATAGTCACAGACTCTAGGTGATTAAGTTGAGAAACGATCTTCATTTTCAGCATTATGTGAAATTTTATTATTCGCTTTAACTTTATGTCTTTTCACTGCATGGTTTTGTACGATTTTTAACTTTAACTACTTCCATCTTTTGTTTTCTTATTCACCTTGTATCCTGATGAGCTGATGCGAGATGTAGTGACTTGAACAGTTATGTAGGTATACTAAGTTCAATGTTGATATCAACTAACTGGTAAATAATTTCAGAGACACAAGTAGACAAATCAATATAGAGTGTCAACCAGAAAAATACTGGACTGCAACTAAATGCCAAGAAAACTGTATAACACTCCTGGAAAAATGTCTATAAAACTTTTCTTATTATTTCCTTTATCAGAGGAGTGTGGTATATATAGAGTTTAAGTATGTACAAGTGAATTAATACTGATAAGAAAAATATGGTTTAATTGTCTCAAATACCACTATCACTAACCTCAGATGTAACAGAGTAGCATGGAGGTAGAAAGTGATCTGGTGGAGAAAATATTTTACCCGTACAATATTCATACCATTCTAAATCACGAGCAATATTATAAAGACGAGCATTTGATACAAGTAAACTTCTTCTTGAGCTTAAATATCCTTCATCAGCATTTAATGGACTAGTGCCATAAACGCAAAGTGTAGCAATAAAATGTAGAAATGAATCACCATAAAATTCTAAACGTTCTAAATTCACTGCATCACGAGCTGCTAGTAGTGTAGTTGGCTCAAACAGATAATTAGGGTGAGGACAAGTTATTGAATTTCTTTCACATTCATTTTGTGCTATATTATCCATTTCTTTTTCTTCGGTTGAAGTCATTTCATCTACTTCAAAATCAAAATCGTTTACTTTAACTGGCTCTCCATTTATGAAATAAGGATCACATAGGCGATCAGGTAGAAATACAGTTGTAGAAGACAATGAATTATTTGTCATAATCAGTGGATCTATTTTAATTTCAGAAAATGCTTGAGGATTCTTTAGTTCAACTTCCAACTCTGTGAATAATTGTGCAGTTAACAATGCTCGTGACATCTGATGAAGAACTGACGGTATCAGAGAAACTAGAAACCATATCCATGAAGATAGTGGGTGTACTAAGCAAGCATCAGATAGAAAAATTGACGGTTTATTAGATAATTTATTCTTTCGTAGGCCTGCATTAACTTGAGTAGAGTTCTGATGACGTGTTAGTCGTAAGGATTTGAACAATGGTAGTGAAAGATTGATTTTACAAGATATATCCTTCATTTTTTGATATTTTATTGTATAGTAATCAAAATACGTTAACTGAGGTACTCCCTCCTTATTTTTAGTATCATAAATTTTTAAAGCTAAATTTGTTGGGACATAACTTAATGCAGTTTCTGAACAAAGTTCTGAAATAGAAAACATGCCAGGATCACTATCAGGCAGGTGATTAGGTTTAACCATTAAGCCAACCCAGTCTTCTGGAGGTATTTGACTAAGTAGAATACGCCAACTCGGTAAAATACCACGAACAGGTCTGATGTTCGGTGGTATAGTGTCCTCAACAGCTGAAGATGTGCAAGTGCGACAACGTGACCATTCCAGAAGAGCGTTAATTGCTTCATAATCGATAGTACATGCTAAAAATAACAAACAAGCGTACGAAATGTACCTAGCATTCGCACATAAAAGTAGACTTCTCATGACACATTATCCCCGAATCATAAGATTCGACAGTATATATGCATATCAACGGGCACCATTGCCATGACAATGACTAAGCGTACATCACAAAATGATTTAAATTTCTCGTCTAAAACTCAACGCTTGACTTATGTGTTACTTACGTGGTGATTGCAGAACAAGGCCTATGCTGCAAATGTAACGGTGGTCGAACACTTGAAGCCTTCTCGTATTCTTCTCCTTCAGTAGAAACGTTTCCCGCACACATAAAAGAATAGATCGAACTACAGTGCGGTTTGCTTGGCTTCTAATAGGTAATCAGATATCCATGTTCAAATTTCATCATTCATTAACCTATCAGGACTGGCATAGCTCCTTATGTATGTGAAGTGCTCAGTATACTTGACCACCTCAACTCCAATTGTCATTTGGGGCATTCACGCAAACCAAAAGTCAAATTGAACTGTTCCTAGCGACCGTGTTCATATTCGTGCAGCAGACAATGAGCCACACCTATTTTTGAGGGTTAATAATGCCATCTAGTTACCCACAGCTCGGTAGGTGGAGAGAAATTCAAACTCGCAAGTCACTGGTTGAAAGTCAAGCGCTTTTACCAGTGGACTATACTACTGAGGGAGTGTATCTGATTCACGCGAACGAGCCCTGAAGTAACAGTTTACATTTAAGCGATGAGACACCATCAAACACTTAAATTGTCATTAAGTGTGTCGAGAACATCCTACATCTCGCCATTTTCTTTACCGAACAAGACTATCATCTGCATCCTCCAGGTCAGTTACGAAGTCTAAGTAGAAATGGGCATCACATAAAGTATGCGAGTCACCTGATGCCTAATCAGACGCTGACATGCCAAAGGTGTTCGAATACATGATATACTTGCGTAACATCTCTTTCAGTGAGAGACACTAGCAAACAATCTCTCGATCGACGCAATAGAATGCCACTTCCAGGTCAAGAAATACAATAATTTCACGCTGCTTCAAGTGTCTCCATGTTTCTAAACCTGGCGCAGGATGGATGTTTGATCGATACACACATGATCATGTCAGAAAACTGTATAGTGATCTCGGTTTCTCTCTTCCCAAGTTACAACCTTGGTGCATAATGACTATAGGGCATAGAATCTTGGACACTGTTCGTCAGACTAATTGCTTTGTGGTTATCACAAGAGAATTTCTTTCCTTCTTGAGGACTGGAACAATTAGTGACTGAGACCAGTTAGAGAGGATCATATCTGATTTTCACACGATGGCTAACATTCCAGATAACAGAGTCAAAATTCCTCGACTCCTGTCTTTAAATACCTCTGATACTAGCTCGTCGACACCCGACGCCCTTCCTGTGGCTAAATCACAGATCCATCTTTCTCCACTACAGTCTCACTAACAACTCACTCTCTTGCTACAGTTTTCTCGATTCTTCTAAATAACTGCCTAGTACGACATATCGCTGCCAGTGTTACGATAGCTTCGGCTTTCACTCCTCATGTCCTACCTTTACGCAGCACAAACGCGTTCACGTGTGTCCACAATTTCATAAGAACCTGCTAATACCCGTGGGTCCTTCCCAACCTTTCTCTGAGGATCAGTTACGATTTTTAACGCCGTTTTCATGGTAGACTGGAGATCGGCGTTAGACTTTCTTCAGATAAGTCCCTCGCTGAAAGCAGCCTTGATATTCTCATTGTCAAGCTGTGCTTCCGATGGTTTTTCTGCCACAGTTTTCCCACGTCCATTTAGGTGCGGTGGTCGCCGTCCAGACTTACTCTAGGAGGAATGACAATCTCCACCGATAATAATATATCTGTGCCTAAGGCTGAGTTGAGGTCGGCGGATGTCACGTCATACAATGCCTCCATTTCTGTCGGAAGTTTGGGCTGACCAGAAATAAATAATTGTCTAAGCTCAGTTTTAGTAGGTGAACGTCGTTATTCACTTGTTCGACTGTGATTCCCGAAGTGCCACCTAAGTTCCTTCATGTCTGACATAGCCTACCTACTTTTGCATTGAAATCAGCTGCAACAAATACATCGTCTAAAAGTTCGGTTTTCAGTAAGAGACTAGACAGCTTTCAGTAGAACACATCCTTCGCTCCATCTGAACTGCAGTCAGCGAGTGCGTAAGTTGAGATTACAAAGAGGCATCAGCGAGTTTCACTGTTTTCTTTAGTCCTCACTGTGCCGTTCAGTCAGACAGTGGACTTTCTGCCATAGAACCTAATGCTATATCTACATCTGCAAGACCACGAGAACTAACCATCGTATCCAAAAAAAACTCTCAAGGTGGATTTCGTAGATTCATCATACTGATCGGATGAGGTTAAGTGAATAAACACACTTGGGCCTTGTATGCATGTCTCACAAATATAGCACACATCTATAGCTAAGTTGCTGGTTTTGGCTAGTGAAAACTGTTCGCTGATATGAAGTAGGGTGCCGGTACAGAAAGCTTCAATGTGTAATTTGAGGTGCGGTTTCAGGAGATCAGGGATGCTGTTCTCTGAATTCAGATCCTTGTCCAGAGCTGGAATAAATTAAAGATGATGTCGGGTTATTAACCGAGAGACATGAAGGAAGATTAGAAAGTAAAGATGGAGAGCTTCCGCGTTGACAGAGCTGTGAGGACGGTTGACACTTCCCGGCTACCCACACCGTGCCAGGCTATTTCTTCCCAAGATACCTGAAAAGGGTTAAAGCGTGAGCGCAGAGCTCAAGGAACATCTCCTTGAGACCAGTCACATGCACCTTTTTTGAAGTTTGAGATTTTAATTTGCTCTTTTCGAATCCAAAAACTATAAGTCTGTATTGCAGGCATTGGTATGCCACGAGGCAGGAGGGAGTGTGCTATTTTAGGGCTTTTGCGTTAACGTTGAGGATAGTATTCTCCAGTCATCCAATGTCTCCTGGTAACCCGAAGGATAAACTTTTACATCTCACCACTTCCATGTGTTTATCAATTCACCTGCTCCTGTGGAACCAGGTATGTAGATCGTTCGATGCGCTTTCTTTCCAACGAGCTAGACAACATTACCCCGCCTAGCTGCAAAGAAGTGTGAGTAGATCCACCAGAAGTGCAATAATTGAACACCTTGTCAACACTAGTCACAGCATCCATCACAAGTGATTCACAGTTCAAAGTCATCTATAGGGTGAAAGGAAATTTGCCCAAAAATGGTGCGCCTCTACCTTCTCTGTACTGCAGAAGCTTTTCCTATATGCATGGAGGAACCGGAATAATGCGTACAAAAAAACTTCTTCAACCTTTCTTGGTACCTTGGATTGACAATACATTGACTTCTATCTCTCTCTTACTACCTACAATGTTTTTTTGTATTTTGTTATCTATTTTAATAACTCAATATTGTCTTCATCTTATTTCCATGCTACCCTTCTTGATCACGCTTTATCTTGAAAATTATTTGTACATATTATGAAACTTTAAAGGCTATCCGGTTAGTTATGTTGGCTTCTATGCCCTTTTGTGACTGAGTACAAATTTCACATAGGGGAATACCACTTAACATAAATCAAAACAAGTGTAAAACTTGAGCACTATAGCAGGACGTAATTCCGTATTAGATTTGTTTATTTGATACTTTCCAGCTTCACTTGGCTTATACACTGATGAAAAATATCTGTTAAGATGGAGGTCTATGGATGAAAAGTCAGGAGGCAATGTGAAAAACTTGTGAGTTGGTCATGATTAGAAAGGCTGTGAGGTAAGCATTAGGAAATGTTAAAACTGATTCATACTATTCTCGTGTATCATCAAAACAATGCAAAACCACTGAAAATAGGTTTTTAGATGAAGTATACTGGATCCACTACTACTGGTCGAAAAAATCGGTGTCCCATCTGCCTAATCTTACTTATAGAACACTAACTCAGATTTTAGATGGCTATCAGCTATACCATTTAGATATTGAACATAATTCACTCCTTTCCACGTTTACTTAGATTATATAAAACGTGAGGAGTACCAAGTCAGTAAACTCAGGTTTAATTAATATTAATAATATAATATAATGTACGATAAGAATGAAATTTACCTGGGAGTCGAATTAATGTAATCAAGGATAAAATATAAGCTTTTTCAGGAGTGAATGATAGATCAGCAAACCGATCAATAACTGTAACACGAAGAGATTCAGGGATATCATTCACACCGTTTTGTTTATCAAAAGCAGCACGAAGTACTGGATCTGATGGTTTATAACCAAGATGTGATAAATGTGCAATATTGGTTACTAGTTCAGATATCACAGAATGAGCTGATTTTATACGTTCTAATTCCATTTCATTTAGGATGATTTTGCTTACTAATTGTATACGTGAACGAGTCATACCACGTGTAAGGTAGAGTGGAATTCGACAAACATAATTCTTCTATGTAAAAAATGGAAAACAAAAAATAACATACAAGCAGTTGAAATATTTGCTTTGTATTATGCACTGTAATAAGAAAATGATAACGTAGACTGGCTCCGTTATGATTCGAATGATAATTTTGTTAACCATTTTCCGGAAACATATGAAAAACTATACTTAACCATAATAGATCTATATTTCTCTGAATAAAATCTCCCTCTTCGAAGATATCACTTTATACAGCTGTATAATCGTATTTTCATATATCACAAACACAACAATGGAGTATAACTGCATCATTAATTTAGTGCTAAAAAACGGAAACCAAGACTGGAAATGAATGGCCTAGTGATCTTTTAGACTATGCAAATAACGAGAAATGCAAGGAGTTTGATGAGGTGAAAATTGTTGGTAGATATGAAATACTATGACTGAGTGCATCCACTTAATAAACGTAAAGAAAGTGAGGAAAGAAACGATGAACAATTGAAGGTAATAATAGCAAACTAACTAATTATAATGAAACAGAAAGAATTGTGAAAGTCCTAACATCATGGTAAGATACAAGACAGAACATACTTCTTCTGAACGCAGAGATCAGCAGTAAACTGATAATGTCAGTGCCTCTACCATACACAAGTGTCGAAAGTGTACTCCCTTTGAACTGTTCCCTTTGCCTCTGTAAATGACACTGAAGTAAGACTCCGGTGGAGTTACATGTTCAGAGCTGATCAAACGTTCAACATTAATCTGTAGGTTGATTTACATTTTCCTCTCGACAACCACGCAGGACAGTACTTAGAGAAAGTGTGTGTTTTGTGTGACTTATATCGATTAGCTTCACAAGGGCAAGTGAATTTGTAAACATGCATTGAGGTGGCCCAAACCAGTAACTTGTCTTCAACATACCCTGGGGCCATCTCTTCAGTAGAGAAACTGATCTGTAGCTTCACAGAAAAGAATGGCTTCTTCAGCGATTTGAATGGCTGATTCTTCAGGATCACTGTTGCTGTGTTACCTTTGATGCCAATGTTCATAAATAAAGTCTTGTTTGAAGTTGTGAATACTTGTTTCATATTCTGTTTGGATTTCTCTCAATAATTCTGAAGAGGTATCCATTTTTTTGAGGATTTTATCGAGTTTATTCGATTCATCATCCATAATAGCAATGATGCAGATTCTTCTGATTCTAGATGACAAGGAATGAACAAGATTTCTTTTTCTGTTGAGCAGCCTCCAACTATGGAAATTTATGTATTATTCATTCCCATTTGGCTTCTTGTAAATTAAACTCTGGAGGAAACTAATTGTCTTCGTTTCAATAAGACATCAAGAAAATGAAATTCTCAGTTTCCTTCAAATGATACTAATGAAGTTAACCGATAGACGACAATCATTACTTTGTGACTATAGTCCAAATATCTACATTTTTATCACATATGATGAATATATATGTATATATATACTATTGTACAGCTTTTGAAAATGATATTGTCGAAGAAGAAAACTTCCTTTGCTGAATTGTCTCTCCTTTTCTGTATCACTCGATGGGCATTTCTTGTCGAATAAACATTGTCTTTGCTTAGGAATTAGATGCTTTTGTAAGATGTAGTAAGGACTCCTTAGCAGTATGCACCCACGACCAAGTTGGGGATCGAACTCAAGACCTTCGGGTTTCACGGCGAACGGGTTAACCATTCAGCCACTGGGTCGGTTTTCAGTGGTTCACAGTTTCCAACTTCTGTCACTTCATGATATAGTGCGACTACCCGAACTGACAGAAGTTGGAAACTGTGAACCACTGAAAACCAACCCAGTGGCTGAATGGTTAACGTGTTCACCGTAAAACCCGAAGGTCCTGAGTTCGATCCCTAGCCGGGTCGTGGGTACATACTGCTGAGGAGTTCCATACTAGGACGGAACAGCTCTCCAGTACTCCCAAATTTTCAATGGTTCCCCAACTGATGTCAGTCCATGATGAATACTACCTCTAAAACCTGCTATTGTTAGGAAATGAATAGGACGTAATGAGTGTAAGTCGAAATTCTAAACAGCTTTTAAAAAACAAAGTAGAAGTAGTGATTGGTGAAAACAATTATGTGATATTGACTTCCTGAAAACTTATAAATCTTCAGTTTCTATCAAAACTTAAGAATTGAAAAAGACAGGAATTCGCTATGTTTCACATTCATTATAATTGACGAAGTGTATTATTCATATAACTGTAGGCTATCAGGATAAAACGCAGATGTATTTCTGCCTTTAGCACCGACCCTAAAGCACAGTAAAACTATGAGGATAGTAAACTTTTAAATGAAATCTAACATAAGGATACATGACTAAAACGAAAACACACCTTACTCTTATGATTTTAACTTCTTTCTTTTTCTTGCACTTGTTCAAAGAACAAAAGCATGGGAGGCAAACATGGAATCAAAAGGATACCGCTGCTAGCCTCCCAAGTCACTGCATCTGTTCTAATATGCTGGATATTTTTCTCATTAACTCAAAATTCATTTCCCTTCAGTCCTTCTTTTCACGTCTTTTATATCATTCTACTTTTGCTGACACACACACACAAGAATTATGGGAACTTTGATATATATGCATCTCTGCACATGGTTTTCTCTGGACAACAAGACAACAAATTAAAAAACCCATACTCAAGATCTCAGTGATATATTGTGAAAAGGTTAGTGCTAATTTTCATGACTATTTTATAATAATTGTTATATTCGTTGAAATCCTCCCCATTTTACCCTGTGTAGCACTTGTCCTGGTTTACAATGACAGTGAGATCTTTAACAAAATAAATCAATAATATGGCACCTCGTGAGGTGGCAGGAAAAAACAAAACAAATATACTTTTACGATCATAATCTTTCATAAAAACTTCTTTGATACATTACCTTAGATATTGGCTTCGAAAATAAAAGTCCAATGGCCTCATCTGTGTGCCTAAAACATGTTGTTTCTAAAGAACACAGCTTAGCTACAACCTCAGGTTTTGGGAGAGTCCATGTATATAAGTACACCGTTTTTCCACAAGATGGAAGTGTTTGGTATGGAAACGATAAGCATCTGACTCGCTGAAAATAGAATAAATGAAAATATATACTATCATGAGATCGTTTCAATAGACAAATAATCATCTAGTACAAATGAAATCAAGTATTCACCATGTCGTCTTTTTCGACTGACTACAAATAACACTCATGTTTCAGACAACCATAAGTCCCACTTAAAGCACTCACTATCGATTTTCAGAAGACCATGAAGCACAACCCCAATCATAACCAAAGAATTCTGACCTCCCATTACTCTATTCGTACTAAATCTGTTTGTTCTGTTAGCTCTTAACATTAATGGAGTAAGATAAATAACATACAACTTACTTTGAAATCTCAATCCACTCAGACAGTAAGAACATATCTTTTCCAGGGTGGTAACTGCTAGGTTTAGGATAAGTGCGGAAGCCTACAATGAAAACAGTCAGTAGGCCACGCTTTTATATTGCTTCAATCCATCTATTTTGAAAAGCAGAGATAGGAGAGATAAGATAGTCAAAGAAAAACCTCATACAGAAGTGCATCGGTTTAAGGTACCAAACTTCACAGCAGTATACAAGGAACAAGCTGACAGAAAAAGGCACATCAAAGTAGACAAAGATGCATGAGAAGAGAAAAAACGGAAGCGTTCCTGGGGACCACTTGAACTATGCTTCAAAGTGTTCTCCCTGAGGTTCTAGTAACCTGTCCTGGGAGGTTATCAGCGTTCTATCCTTTTGGGAGATTGTTTCACTTACAGTCGTTTCCTTCTTGCCGGTATCCTTAATAAGCTTTAGTTACCGAGTGTTATCCAACGCTGATAGCTCCATGCTCTTGCTCTCGCCACTCAGCGCTACTAGAAGTCATTGAGAAGACTCTTGGTTAGTCTACGTTTAAGTTGCTTGTGCTCTTTATCGTGGTCAGGACGGGCTAGAATTATTATTCTTGCATAAATCATTTCAGATAACGTTGCGGAAACCCAGTGACGTCCACAAACCTTTGGGTGTAGGTAACCAATTGTCTTTACCACTGTTTCTACAGAAGACTTAATATCAAGCCAGGTTTCTTCAGAATGAGTATTACTGTCATGTTCAGATAAATGCTTAGCTAACCCCTCACTAAATATGTACTTGAAGTTCGCATCTTCCATTTGAGCACAGACAGGTTTCACCACTGCCTTTTTCCTGCGTCAAGTAACGCGCGTGCCTATACCAACGAGTGATCAGAGTTCAAACACGTACTCCAGAAAGAGCAGCAATCCTCCACCGATCCTCTTCAACGGTGGATAATATCAATATGATCTATCTGTGTCCATTTTGGTTTGATGTTGGTGAACGCCATGTGAGACAGTGTCTCTTCATGTGCTGACCAGAAACGAGTGATTACCAAAACGAAATCGCAACAGACAATCAGCGTTGCCTGGTCGTTGGGATGGGATTCCGTGAATACTCCCAAGATGCTTTTCCGGGTGGACCAGATTTTCTACTTGAGCGTTGAAGTCATCTGCCATTATGACTATATCTGAACGTTTTGCTTTCTTTAGCAAACTTGAGAGCTTCTAATAGAATTCATCCTTTGCATCATCCGAACTACAGTTGGTAGGTGCATAGGCAGAGATTATGAACTAGCACTGGTTAGTCTCCCGATCTTTCCTAATCCTTACAGATCCACTCAGTCAAACACCACAGGCGGCTGTTGACTGTTATTCAGTCGAGAAGTGCACTTTTTACTCTACAACTCAATGCTTTGCCTAGACACCAGAGTTCACTAGAGCTAGTCATTGAGTTTCCGAAAACTCGTAAGGTGAATTTCGAAGATTTACCGCAATCGCCAGATGAGGTCAATTTAATAACTACACTCGGTTCCTGTATACGTGTCTTGGAGATAGCACATATCCATGACAGGAGACTCCAGAGTTCTGACGAACGATGCCTGCTGTCAAATTTGGCATAGAGTTCGGATGTTGAAAGGTTCAATATGAAATTAACAGCAAGGGCTTAAGAGACTAGGAATTAGGTTTCGATGGCTTTGATCGTTGGCAATGATTGGGGAGTGAGAGGTTGGGGAAGTTGTAAGGTAAAGCCAAGGGAGCAGACAGCTAAGGAGGATTGGTTGTGTTTGATTGCGTCTTGTATACAACTGGAAGCATGCGAGCGGTTGACACTTCCCGGTTGCCCACACCATGGAAGGCTACTTGTTCTTAAAGTAACTGAAAGAAAGAGAGATTTGCGACCGCAGAGCCCAGGGAGCATCTGCTTTAGGCCTATCACAGCCTTTTGAGGGCTGCTGGTTTAAGATTTGGTGGTTCTAATGTCGGACGAAGAAATTCCATGCCGCCGGCACTGAAAGACTACATGGCAGGGGAGTTTGCTGATTTTGGGGCAGACACCCATAATCCCCACCCTCCCTTAGGGAAGGCAGTATCAGCGTGGCTCTGTTAGTCATCTAAGAGAAACAACCTTACTGCTGCCACACCCCATCCAGTTAGCAGTACGACTTCGCCGTCTGACCCCCGTCATAGCGTAGCAGTTTACACTGCAATGGTGACTGCTCTTCGTCTTGCCACTATCGAACTGACCTTTCTAGCATGATAGGATCTCAAGGGAACAAGTGTTCCAACCAGCGTGGCTCGTCGGGTCACTGTGATACACAAACCTGAATACCAGGTCAAGGTAGCGGTTATCAGTCAAGATAGGAAAAGCAGGTTCAGGTTGACCGAGGAAAAACAGTAACAAAGGTAAAGTGCTGAATTATGACTGTTGGCCGTTAAGATAATTTTGTTCACCAAGAAAAAGATCTCGATGCATTGCCAGTGATAAATTAAGCGGCACGGCTGTAAACCCCATTCAAAGATAAAGCTGGTATTCTCCAATTGCATGGCCCAAAATATAATCCCCCTTACCGATCAGACAGACAGACAAAGTCAAAGGAAAACCTCATACAGAAGTGCATCGGTTCAAGGTAACAAACTTCACAGTAGCACACAAAGAACAAGTGGGCAGAAAAAGGCACATCAAAGTAGACAAAGATACAATAGAGGAGAAACAATCGGGAAATGAAGGTTACTGAAAACGTCCAAGCTTTAGAAGACGTCAAAACGTGAACACATCTGCTCTGTGGCCAATTTTCAGCCATTTTACCAACAGCCTGGAACCACTGATTTCTATGCTCTCAAAGACACCAGTCAGGTAGCCCGGACCTCCCTACACAGCCCAAACAAACAATCAGGGACTTCATGGACTGGTGTCAATTTCTGGTTCGGCCACCTTTAATCTTCTTCTAACCCAACCCGACTCCCTCCAGCATTGTATGGCGAGGTAGGGGTGGCTCGGCTTTTTTAGTACCATCTTTCACCTTCCTTTAACTGCTCTCTTTTGTTAGATTCTTAGTTTACTAACCGAATTGGTTATATTTTAATTCTGTTAATATGGATCTTGTCAATTACATGGGGTATGACAGGAAATAGGACTTAAGGTGGCAGACCAATGATTGTCATCATCATCATCATCATCATTATCAACATAGGACCAGGCATTACTGCGTAACGGTCCGAGTTGCCACACCTCATATCAGCACATCAAGTAAAAAGGTAGTGAGGTGAAGGATGAAGATAAGTGAATGCAGTCAAAAGAAATATAAAGTATGAGAAGAAAGGAAAGAGGAGTGACAAAATAGTGAGATTCGGTATAGCGTTGTTAAGATGAGGATAATGTGTGTATACATCTGCGCCACTGACTTCGGTTCTGAGCCATATCACCTAGGGTCTCCAACCACTGGTTCCTCTTGTCCCGTGGACCCCAACCACCTAGTCTGCATCGTCCTACATGGCTTAAACCAACAGTCAGAGACTTCATACATTGGTGCCATGTTTTAGTCTGGCCACCTCGGGCCTTTTTCCAGCCTGAACCCACCTCAGCCAACATTGTGTGACGAGGCAATCGGTGACTAGGCATACGTAGTACGTGTCCCAACCATCTCAGTCGATGAAGGTTCACAACCTCGTCGACTGACTTACCTCTTCTCCCTAAAACTCTACACCTAACTTCTGCATTACTCACATGGTGACACCACGGAATACGTCCTATACTACGAAGGCAACGGTGGTCAAACACCTGAAACCTTTTTGTATCTTCCACTTTCAATGGCCATGTTTCACAGCCATACAGTAGAACAGAGCGGACTGCTGTGCAGTACACGCGACCCTTAATAGACAAACGAATATCACGGCGGCGCCATAGGTGGCGCAAATTGGCAAAAGCCAATCGAGCCTTTTGTATCCGTGCAGAAATCTCATCGGCAACTAACCCACCGGGTTGATCCTACTTCCCAGGTAAGTGAAGTGGTCAACACACTCAACCACTTCACTCTCTATTGTTAACCGCGGTACCGCTGAAGACCAGTCCTGGAGCAAAAATTTGCATTTGGGTGGTGAAAATCGCATCCCAAACATTCTCAAATTCCCACTCAAAGTGTTCAGAAGACTCTGCATCTTGTCAGCGTCTTCACCTAACAGGACTATGTCATCTGCATATTCTAGATCTAAGGAAAATTCACCTGTGATCCGGTCAACGTCTTTGTAATTAGGTGACGAGAGGGAAACCTCCATAAGAATATCTATGATAAAATTAAATAAGAATGGGGATAGTGGGCATCCTTGACGGACACCACTTGATGAGTATAGCTCCCTGGACAACTCACCATAGGCTCTAACATGCCCACAAGTGTTCGAGTAGAGAGCTTTCAATAAGGTGATGTACTTACTAGGCACGCCTTTCAGTGACAGACACTGCCATAAGACTTCTCGATCAACGGAGTCAAATGCCGCCTTCAGGTCGAGAAATACAGCTATTGTCGGGCGTCTGTAAGCATGCCTATGTTCCAGGACCTGGCGCAGTGTGAATATTTGGTCGATACATCCACGGCCAGGTCTAAAGCCTGCCTGGTTTTCTCGGGCTTGCTGTTCCCGAGCTCCACTCAGGCGTCGGAGAATTATAGAACTTAGGATCTTAGACACTATGTTTGTCAGGCTGATTCCTCTGTGGTTATCACAAGAGGACTTCTCGCCTTTCTTGAAGACTGGGATGATCAGTGACTTAGACCAGTCGGAGGGGATCGTATTTGATTCCCATATACTGGCTAACACTTCCGTTAGCCTGACTAAGAGAACTCTACCACCATTCTTGTATACCTCAGCAGGTAGTCCGTCTGGTCCTGCTGCCCTTCCCCGTTTCAGGCTACCTACCGCTTTCTCAACTTCTTCTAGTGTTGGGGGACCTGTCTCTATGTCCCATTCAGGGTCCGACTGGATAGCGGGCAGCGCAATGGTGGCTGGAGGCCAGTTAAACTGTTCCTCAAAGTGTTCTGCCCATCGTCCCAGTCGCCTTCCCTGCGAGTGAATCGCCGATCCGTCCTTCTCCGCTATAACCTCACTAACTGTTGTTGACCATTTCCCCCCAGTCTCCTTAATAAGTCTAAATAACTGTCTACTGTTACCGATCGCCGCTGCCTTTTCCATCTCTTTAGCCTTTGCTGCCCACCACTGTTCACGATCGTTGCGCAGACTTTTCGTCAGTTTATTTTTAAGTTGCGCTCGCTCTTCATTGTACTCAGAGCCTGCAGGGATGCATTCACGTGCATCCATTAGTTTGGAAGAAGCTGCTGATATCCACTGGCTCTTTTTAGCCATTATCTTGGAGTCGGCTACAGTCTCCAGTGCTGCTTTTACAGTAGACTGAAGATGGCACCAAGCTTCTTCTGGATGAGTGACAGTCTTTTGTTCCGATAACTGCCTAGCCAACTTCTCACTGAACACGGCTTTGGTGTTTTCGTTGTCCAGCAGAACTCGTAGTGGTTTTGTTGCCAAATTTTTTCTACGTCCATTGAGACGCAGGCATATACGTGCTCGGACCAACGCATGATCGCTGTCCAAACACGTACTCCAGAAGGAGCGGCAGTCTTCCACCGATCCTCTCCAGCGATGACTAATAGCAATGTGGTCTATCTGTGTCCATCGCTGAGTCGAGCTCGGTGGACGCCAGGTCAGACAGTGCCTTTCTTTATGTCTGAAATTTGTGCTGGCTAAAAATAGGCGGTTATCTGAGCATAGTTGTAATAGGCGATCACCGTTATCTGTACGTTCAGCTGGGATTCCGAAAGTGCCACCTAAGTGCCTTTCTGCCTCACTCAGTCTACCCACCTGTGCGTTGAGGTCACCTGCAACAACCACTACGTCCGAACGTTTGGCTTTCGAGAGGAGGTTAGACAGTTTATGGTAGAACTCGTCCTTCACTTCATCCGAACTACAGTCAGTGGGTGCGTAAGCAGAGATTACAAAGAGACAACGGCGAGTCTCACTATTCCTTTTAGTTCTCACTGTGAACAGAACTGAGGGATATGACGAGAAACAATTGGCATTTTAATATGCATTTTTATTGATTTTTTTTGTTTTGAGAGCCCCTGAAGGACATTCAGTGAATTCGAACAAAACTTCCAAACCTTTAAATCAATGGCCATCGTTATGTGAAACGTTGTATTATGATATGGAATTCAAGGACAAAGTTTTACCAATGATCATAATGATATCAGCTGAGTAGAGCCTCTCATAGAGGTGACCTCGACCTTGTTAAGACTGCTTCTTATTCCATTGCCTAAAAGAGTTTGTAACCAGATAACTATACATAAAGTCTTTAAAAACGAAATTAAACTTGAGTTAGTAAACAACCTAATTTGGGAGAATAATTAGCGTCGTTATACTAACTTGTTTTAAGAACACATATAAACACAACCTGACTTAAAAATGCAAAACTCTTTTATAGATATAGCCCACTACGACCTTTATCTATTGGATATTACAAGTTGGTTTAAGGAAGGATTATTGAAATGTGGTTTTAAATCTGTCTACAAAGTTACTAAGAAAGGTCTAAACTTCCTGATTAATTTCTTGCATAGTAGTAATAAAGAGACAAAACAAGTGACCTATTAACGATTACCGGAACAGGATAGTGCTGCAAGCTGACACTTTGTGTAGTATACTGAGAGCACTTCTCCAGTGTAGGGTCAGTGTCTGAACTACTGATGGGAGAAGATACACTAGATGCTCTTGACAATGGCTTCTGAGTTACAAGGGTTACAGGAAGTAGTCTTTCCACAATGTTAAGATGTGGAGGGTTGGCACAAACTGGAGGCGTCCACATATTCTCTACAAAGTAAAAGTTAAAGCACAAATCAACACTTCCATATATTGAATGAAATAAAGAGAAAAACTGGCAAAACGGTTAAAGTACTGTACTTGTACATCGGAGTCACGTCAAATAAAACACCACAACTTAGTGACAAATTATTAAAAGATTTCTATTCCCAATGGTGCCGCAAACGTTTCTACTTCACCCTATATCTAAGATCGGTTTTGTAAATTTATTTGCATGTAACTGGTAAAATATATTTCGTTCATTATTCTTAGTATGTGCATACCTTTACCACAGAAAGAAAAATGTAACTTGCTGCCTTGACGTTAGAAGCCCTTAAGTAAGAGACTAATAGGCTAGCCATAATTCAGAGATTTAGTCGTTCAAAACCCCTTTCACCATGATTGAAACATCTATTTATGTAAACAGGAGAGGACAGTGGCAGTTATCATGAAAACTTCTGAATTATTTAACTCAAAAACAACTATAGTCGCTGAAGTGTGGTAGGTTAGTTCAATTATGCGTAATCAAACAGGCATATATTTACCTGCATAATATTCATATTTATAATTTGTTAACAGATGGCCATCAGTATTGTTGACTTCAGTCAGTCACTTTTAACATGGGACTTGGCATCATTGTCTAACATTCAAAGTTGCTATAATTCATACCAGTATACTGAGACTCAAGGCACTGAGATGAAACATAGAAATGAAATGTATTAAAAAACCTTGAGAACCATGAGAAGTATAAGAAGGGGTTTAGCAAATAACGAAGAGTAATCTATCGGTTACGACTACGCTATGGATGCATCTGAACCACTCCAATGAATTTAAAGCAATATCACAGACTATTGAATAATCGATTTTGGTTGTGATGGAGACTTCAAACAGGTCCACATCTCATCACATGGCTTAGATCAGCAACTCACATAATCTATGTTGTCGGAAATAATTTCGTCATTCACTGAGAAACATTTCAGTCCTCTCTAAACAACTGCTGAGTAGCATGGCCGTCAAAGTTGAGGGCATTAGGAGGTTTGAGCTGTTGGACCATCAGGATACTGGTGTCAATCTTAACAGACAATACACGTTTGTTGCAACCACCTCACAAAATACACCATCAGTTATTCACACAACGATGTTAGCTGCTTTGATTCTAATCATCATTTGACAAACTATTCTGTTCTGATAGAACCTCAGGAAACCTCTTTCGAATCAGAGTAGCTCGTTGGGTCGTTACAATGTGCAATCCTGATCAACAGTGATGCAGCAAATATCAGTGGGGTGTATTGGCTAGTGAAAGTTAGTCTTAACGCCCTACCTAGAAACTTTTTACACAACAGTTACAGATCAGTAGAGAATACGAGTTTAGAGATATTTTTCTTAGGATTTCGGTTGATGAACATTCGCAAAATTGATAGCGTACAAAACGGTTGGTTTTTGATCTCGCGTCTGTATGTTAGGGTTCGGTATGTATTGTTCGGTTTGCTCCTGCAGTGGACAGGAAAATCTCTTCCGCTTTTCAGCTTTTACCTTCAGTGAGGGGAATGTTTTTGCGGGTTAGTAATTGCGATTTGCGCAGTAACCAGGACGCTTCAAGTTGCTAGGATAATTAGGAGTCACTTGTGACTTCTGTTTGTAAAGATGCCTGAATAGGAATAGAATGAGTGAGAAGTTATATACACGAGTAACCTAAAGGGTGAAATTAGAGAGTATGGGTCTAGTCGGTAGTGTTAGTGGATAGTGTAGATGCATCAGCTATAGAGATGGTGAGTGGTAAGTACCCAGTCTTCCAAAAAAAGAGAAATGAAGAAGGGGAATTGGAAAATAAGGGGGAAATGATGCAGAGAAGTAGACTTTGACGGGAATGCTGTTTCTGAAAGGCGTAAAAAGAGGGAGGAAAGTAGGTTCTCTGGCGACATTAAGGGAAAAAGTCAACAAACAAGGGAAAATGAAGCGGATATCAGGAGGAAAAGTAGACAAGTAATCACACATGTTGAAAGAGGAAAGCGAATTAAGGGGGGGAAGCATAGAAGGGGCAATCAGTGGCATTTCCCTACGAGTGTCGCTTTATTTTACCATTGTTTCCCTCTTTATTCGGTTTATTTTCCTTTATTCGTTTGTATGGGTAGGAAAGAAGTATTAATTGGCTTGTGAGGTTAGTGATTTTCTGAGTAAGTCTATGGTAAACCATGCAAAATGACGTAACTGTCTAGCCGTCTTTTGTTTGTTCAGTAGACTTGAGTCTACTGAAGCAGTTGTGATTACATCCCGTGGTAAGGCATTTCATAAAGCGCATACCCTTAAAGAAAAAAAGTTAGACCTAGGTATGATGTCAGCTGATAGCACATACGTACTACCCGCCTTACTACACTCTATGATAGTTCAAACTAGCCTTTTGTGTGATTTAAATCGCGATCAGGAATTTGATGACAAGGAATCGGGAGGTGGGAGGAAGTTTCCCGAAAGCCAAGCCTTTCACCCAGAATGACTATCCAAGTCAACAATTCAGGGGCAAAATTCGTAGAAACGAGGGATCCCTCGTTGGAAATGTCGACATTTTCAGAACACGCAGGAAATCGAAACGCGGGGTGCATGAGGAAAAATGTAGGGAGTTTCGCTGGGAAACGGAACGCGGGGGCGAAAAATTACGGGAACTATTGCAAAACAGCGCGTTTTACCCCGTGCAAATTTCGACTGGGATCTCGAGACTTAATACCACTTTTCAGTCCCACCGACATTCAGTTATGCCTAAATATAAATCAAGCCTTAATTTCTTAGACTATCAAGAAGTCTTATTTCCCTCACTGTGTTAAATAATGCAAACACAATACCTGTTTAGCAGAAGACTATAGTCATGTGCGAGAAACAGAAATCAGAGTCCCACCTTCAACAGCAACCTTAAGATCTGATGAAGATAAACACTGTTCTGCACTAAGCATCTAATGTACCTCACAAACTTATATAAACCAAGCGGCTTTTCTACACTAGCTTCCGCTCTTCGCACAATGGCTTCACACCGTGGGTGGGTAGATCTACATATTTTTCAAAACTTCTGGTTAGTCTGATGGGTGCATGAGTGTGCAGAATCATATTTTTCTTCCATAACAGAAGGCTGTGGGCCTTTATAAGTCCTTTTATGGTAGATATCTATGCTATTCTGGCTCTCTTTAAAATGAGTTAGTTGATGATGTGGATGTAGCGTCACACACTCCTCCAAAGCCAATAGCCTAGGGTTTGACGACTTTCGACATCGATGCTGACCTTGATGGTTTAACTGGACTCACTAAGCTGAAGGCACCCGGTCAAGCATCTTCGCCATTTGGCACGCTGTCGTGTTACGTTGCACTGCTCGTATTCGACTTTCTAGCCAGTTAGTTGGAACGCATCGGTATTTTGGCACAACCATCCGAATATACTATTCCATCCGACTACGCTATCGTGTTCTTCCTTGGTCTCGTATTCGCGGGTATGTAACAAGTCCGAATAATTAGTGATTGGTCTTTGCGTCTGTCAAATTCGCACCAGGACAAATCCTAAATTGGTGAGCCCGACGTGATCAAATATCCCGGCGTGACCACATATCCCGACCAATAACAAATATTGAATTGGTGAGCCTGTTCCATTTTATATTTGTTTATTGTTTTCATTTCGATAACATTTATATATCCATTTACTACACTTTCTCATGTCCGACCACACTCCCAAGCTTATTCGTATTAAGCCGACTGCGAACACGATCCAACTCGTGCCATATTGGCCAGACAATGCAGAAACATGGTTTCTGTATGCCGAGGCCGATTTTCGAGAACAGGGCGTCTCAGATCCTCATTCTCGATTTCTTGCCGTCATACGGTCACTACCGCGAGAATTAAACAGGCATGTTACAGCACACATGTTTAATCCTGAAGTAAGTTATCCTTATGCACTTCTCAAGGCCGCACTCTTGAAGAAAAGCGATCTGACAGATCGCCAGCACCTAGACGAATTGCTTCGTAACATCGAGCTAGGCAGCCACTCAGCTACTGAAGTCCTCGCACGCATGCGAGAAGTTGTCGGGACACGAACATTCGACGATGGCTTCTTCCGAGAACTATTTCTCTCGAAACTACCACAACCGGTGCAAACCGTGTTGGTGACACTGCAGTCAGTCCCACTCGATGACCTGGCAGCCTCAGCAGATAAAATACTGGAGATTTCCAGCAGACCCGTCTCCAACGTATATTCTATCTGCGACAAACCAGAGCGCCAGGATTCAGAGGTGACAAGCTGTGCAACTCTGTGAAACAGTTGCTACGATCTCGAAGTCGTAGCTCACGTAGCACACAACAGAAACGCACCTTGGCGCATCGCAGCAAGTCTCGTGGTAGCCCCAAACTAGACCTAACAGGGTGGAAAACCCTGAATGGTGCTGGTTTCATAACACTTACGGAGATGAAGCCAGAAAATGTCGGAAACCATGCCGTTTTAAGAAGGACATAAACTCGGGAAACGGTCACGCCGGCACGTGCTCACGGCAACCGTAGCCGGCGGAAACAGCCGTTTGCTCTACGTCACCGACATTAAAACGAAAGTCCGCTACCTCGTCGACACCGGCGCAGAAGTTAGCGTTCTTCCAGCAACGACAAAGGAGCGTCATCACGACCCATCCTTCAATCTTCAAGCAGCCAACGGCAAGGCAATCGCGACATTCGGGAGACGGTATGCCTACCTCAACTTAGGTTTACGCAAACCTATCCACTGGATCTTCCTCCTTGCTGACGTCTCTATGCCCATCATTGGCATAGATTTGCTAAACCATTACGATCTACTCGTAGATGCTCGCCGTCGACGACTGATAGATAACAACACAAAGTTATCTATTGGCGGCACCACCTATGTAGGTCCGAGTTTAGCCATCGTTAGGACCAAACAATCAGGCGACGCGCCCTACCAGGCAGTTTTGGAGAAATATCCAGAGTTACGACAACCGAAGCACACTCTTCCGTGCATAACCAGCAATGTTATGCATCACGTCACAACCACAGGTCCACCTGTGGCATCCAAAGCGCGCCGTTTAGCCCCCGATAAGCTCAAACGGCGAAAAATGAATTCGACCACATGCTCGAACTGGGCATTATCAGACCGTCAAACAGTCCTTGGGCATCGCCATTGCACATGGTTCCCAAAAAGGATAGCAACGACTGGCGTCCGTCCGGTGATTACCGAAGGCTTAACGCCAAAACAACTCCGGACTGCTACCCGATACCTCACGTTTACGACTTGACCGCAACCTTATGCGGAATGAACATTTTCTCAAAATCGACTTGGTCAAAGCGTACAACCAGATACCTATGGCAGCAGAAGATATCGCGAAAACAGCCATTATTACTCCTTTTGGCCTGTTTGAATTCCTGCGCATGCCATTTGGTCTTCGGAATGCAGCACAAACATTCCAACGCTTTATGGACGATGTCTTCCGTGGTTTGAATTTTGTTCATGTCTACATCGATGACTGTCTAATTGCGAGTCCAGATAAGGAAACTCACCTTAAACATTTGGACCTCGCATTCGAAAGACTTAAAAAACATGGCATCACAGTCAACTTACAGAAGTGTGAAATAGGAGTTGAATCACTCAGCTTCCTTGGGCATACCATTGACAACAAAGGTATACGCCCATTGAGAGATAAAGTGGCGGCTATCACAAACTATCCAGAGCCGACCACTGTGAAACATCTCCGCACTTTCAATGGCCTGGTAAGTTATTACCGAAGGTTTATCCCTAACTGTGCCTCTGTCATGAGACCACCCACAGATCTACTTCGAGGAACTGCGAAGTTCGTGTCTCTGGACAACGCGGCTAGACTTGCTTTCTCTAAAGTCAAGGAAGCCATTTCGAACGCAACCATGCTTATGCATCATGACCCCAATGCTCCTTGAGTATTGCTGTTGATGCATCTGATTCAGCAATTGGAGCAGTTTTGCAACAGTTGACTGACAACCAGTGGCAACCGTTAGCCTTTTTCTCGAGGCGGCTGCAAGACGCGGAAACAAGATACAGTACATTTGGTAGGGAACTCCTAGCCATGTACTGTTCTGTACGCCATTTTCGACATTCTGTGGAAGGTCGTGATTTCATTATTTTCACAGACCACAAACCGTTAACGTTTTCCCTCAGCTCGGCGTCTGACAAATACTCCCCTCGTGAGTCGCGACAGCTGGATTACATTTCCCAGTTCACGTCAGACATCCGCCACATTTCTGGAGCAAACAACTCCGCAGCCGACGCACTATCTCGAATAGCTTCGATAAACTATATCGAGGGGTTGATCTCGTTGAACTAGCTCGGCGTCAAAAGGAAGACCTTGAGCTGCATCATGAGTTGTCGTCCACAACTCTCAAACTGCGACTTTGTCCGGTTGGATCAGACAAGGATACAATTTTGTGCGATGTCTCTGCTAGTCAACCACGCCCAATAGTTCCGAAGAGTTGTCGACGCAACGTCTTCAATACGTTGCACAAACTCTCTCATCCAGGTGTACGAGCCACCATTAGGCTTATCGCACAACGTTTCTGCTGGCCTGGGATGAACAAAGACGTTAAGGAGTGGGCTCAGTCGTGCTTAGCTTGTCAAAAGTGTAAAGTCACGCGACACACGAAAAGCCCTTTAGGCTCATTTCTAGCCCCAGACATGCGTTTCGACCACGTCCATATAGATATTGTAGGACCTCTATCAGGAGGTGATGGAGGTGCTTATCTTTAGGCTTGCGTGGGTTGCCTCACGCGAAGGCCGGAAGCAGAACCTATTAAGGATATTACTGCTGAAACAGTAGCTCATGTTTTCGTCAAAAGATAGATCGCGAACTTTGGGTGTCCGACCGTGGGCGCCAATTTGAGTATGGATTATTTCACGCTCTAACGGCACTTTTAGGTTGCACCAGGTTCCGAACGACAGCCTACCATCCACAAGCAAGTAGCATGGTAGAGCGTCTCCATCGACAGCCGAAAGTTTCCATTTCATTTGCAAACATACTTCAGTGGACCGAGTCTCTGCCTCTAGTCCTACTGGGTACTCGTAACGCTTTGAAAGTTGATGCTGGATGCACTCCTGCAGAACTCGTCTATGGGACCACTCTTCGCCTACCAAGTGAATTTGTTTCCCCTTCAGTTTTCAAACATGTTTCCGACACGGCATCTTACGTGACTAGGCTTACAAACGCAATGCGTTCAGTTAGGCCTTCTCCAGTTGGACCTCAAACGACTGGTGTTTTCGTCCACCCCAGTTTACAGAAGACATCACACGTGTTTGTTCGCCACGACGCCGTTCGTCGACCACTTGAACCACCCTACGACGGGCCATTCAAAGTGATTAAGCGACACGAGAAATTCTATATAACTGAGGGAGACGGGCGTGAAGATACTGTCAGTATCGACCGTTTGAAACCAGCTTATTTCGAAGGCAACCCCATTATAAGTGACGTTTCAGCTCGCTACATCCGACTGACGGATAGCTCAATCATCGAAATTCTTGACGATGTGCCTGGTAACGCACAGCGGCAACAACCATCGCCGCAGCAGAAAACATGATTAGGCAGAACAGTTAGGTTCCCGGGGTGCTTAAAGTAGTATTCAACTCAGTGGTGTGAAATAAGGTGTGACAACCATATTTTTTGACTAATTCAAAATTTTTTCGAGGCATTATTTTTCTTACTTCTAGGCAATGCCCAAATCCTCGTACATTTCGCCTTTTTATGTCAATTTTTTACTACTACCACGTAATGAAACATTTTTTGCCAAGAAAGCGTAAACTTTATTTATTTATTTATCTATATATTCCACTTATATTCCCATTTTTACGAAACGTTTTCGTGGTATTAAAGACTTTCATTTATATTCCAGGTCCAACGAGCAGTGGACGGAAAGTCAAAGAAAACTGAGGACTGCTATCGACGTACAATTCA